TCTGACCTCACTTAAGTAAATCAGTGGGAGTTTTGCCATTGATTTCAGTGAGCAAGGGCTTTGTCTTGTTTAATATGTTTTTAAAATTATCTGGGAAAGGAGGTGAACAGTGATAGACCAACATTTGCAGGGGACAGAATTATTTTGGTGAGACCTGACTAGAAAAAAAAAGCTTTAGAACAGCGGTTCTCAAACTTTTTTGGGCTCCAGAGCCCTTTACATGCATAAAAATTTATGTGGAGCCCCAGCGGTCCACTGATTGTATGTGGTGTACCTATCAATGTTTCCAGGTTGTCAACCTCAGGGTCTGCGGAGCACAGTTTAAGAAACACTGCTTTAGAAGTATCTAAGAAAGCCTGATGGCAGATGAAATCTAGAATTGACAAGTGCAGGACAGTGCACATTGGAATATAACGTAGTTTGTGATGTAGGCATGGCCTTAGTTTACCCATAATAAACTGAACTTCTTGCTAGATTCTAAATTAACTGTAACCACACAGGAAAAAGACCTGAAAATCATCGTGGACAGCCCAATTAAAACTTGCTTTCGATGGGAAATGGTAGTCAGAATGTTAGAATGCATGAAATATGAATTATAAACTAGTACTGAAAGTTATATTATTATATAAAACATTGGTCTGCCTTCATCTGGCCTAATATGTTTGATTTTAATTACTGCATCTTACAGAAATAGAAAATGACAAGGATTATTAGAGGCATGGAGAGATTTATATATGAAAATGGACTGAAAAAACAGAAGCTATTTAGTTTAAACAGACAACAATAAGCAATAAACTTGAGATGTACAAATTAATGGGTGTTATAAAGAGAAAATAGAAGTTCCTGATTTACTTTCTCATAATACAAAAACAGGAGCACAGTTAATTAAACTGAAAAATAACATCTATAAGAGGGTACGTCTGCACTTGTTCCCTAGTTCGAACTAGGGATGCAAATGTAGGCGACCGAAATTGCTAATGAAGCGGGGATTTAAATATCCCGCGCTTCATTAGCATGATCTCACCGGCGTGTTACTCCGCTCAACAGCTGTTTCAAAAGTGATAATGTGCGCCAGGACGCGTTAGTTAGAACCAAACCCCTTGGTTCAAATGAACGTTACTCATTTTTTGAGGAGTAACGTTAGCTTGAACCCAGGGGTTTGGTTTGAACTAACACATCCCAGCGTGCACTTTCACTTTTGAAACAGCTGTTGAGCGGAGTAACACGCCGGTGAGATCATGCTAATGAAGCGCGGGATATTTAAATCCCTGCTTCATTAGCAATTTCGGTTGCCAACATCTGCATCCCTAGTTCGAGCAAGGGGGCAAGTGTAGACGTACCCAAAGTGATAAAATTTTCATGATGCACAAAAAAACAGTGAAACCCATTGCCCCAAGATATCTTTGAGTCCTGGCGTTAAAAAGGAATAGGCCACATGGATAATAAGTATGTCTAGAATTACATGAAATACAAAATAAATAGAAGGGTCCATTGTGTGACTTATGATGGTTAGAAAGAACCTTCCCTCTGAGAATTATCCACCACATAATTTTTTTACAACTTCCTCTGAAGCATATGTAACTTATCACTCAGATCCAGGATATTAAATTGGATGGGTATGTCTGGTTTGATCTAGTGTGGCTATTCTTACACTGCCATCATATGCACATCATTGTAGGTCTTCACAAATGTCGCAATCTTTTTCTGTGTTAATTTGCTTTTTCTGAATAACAGCAGCTTTTCTTTCAAATCCTCATGGTAATGAATCTATTACTTAGAAGTCAGACACACTATTGGTGTACTGCCTTGGACAGGAGCCCTTTTCTGTTTGTCTCCATCCTTACCCCTTAGTAGCTTCTCTCATTGCCTTCAAAGCTCCTTTCTCTTCTAAGAACTTCACATCCTCTCTTGTAGAACACTCAGGTGCACAGCCGGTCTTAACATTTTTGTGCAGGCCTCCAAAACAATATTTTGCCACTCTCTTCAAATATAATTGATCTCACTCCAACATTATCATTCTGTGCTGTAGAGGTCCATCCTAAGGAATTTGGAAGGAGTTAATAAGATGATTCTTAGGATATGCTGAAAATTTAAATGACTCATTTTTAAAAAAGAATGAAAATAAAAGTGTGTGTGTTTTGATGTCATATTTGGATGCTTGCATTGAGATCTGCTGCTTGTTCCTGTCTGTTCTGCTCCTATACCTTTGTTTTCAAGTCTTCTGTGTCAAGGAAAGGGGCTAGAAGATTACTTTTCCAAAAATGAAAGTGTGATTCTTTTTTACAGTTCTTCTTATTCTTTCCAACCAGATCATGTGCTTTCTGGGGTCCTCAAGCTGACTCTGTCCAGAGAACACTGCTAAGTGTGTAAGAGGGAAGATGCTTGTCTTAGACAGCAACTGTTGCTAGCAAGTGAATGTCTCATGCCAGGGATGGATTTGATCACAGTGATGCATGTGCATTCAAGTCAATGGTCATTCATCCTAATTCATGCCAGATACATGGATTTGGCATTTATTTCTAAAAGAATCCCATAAATGCTAAGATGTTGTGCTTTATTAGAACCCAAACAATTCAAATCTATCTTTTAAACATGAAAATCCTTATTAAAGGGCCTTTTGCCTGAGCAAAGACTTGAGGATCAGGCCTCAAGTAATCCACCATGTACAGGTTTTCTGAATACCTCATAAATATCTTAGTGTTATATATTACTTCATCAACATTTAAGTCAAATTTAGCTTTAAATATCTGAATAAGTACATGCTTAAATTCACTTTATAAGAAATTAGATAATATAAAATATGCTTGTGATATGGCTGTTTATTAATACATGCGCTTTTCCATAACTGGCTTAGCAAGTAATAGACCTAGAAGATTTCTATTATACGTCAGTGTTGTAATTTAGCAGATTTAGCTGCATTTTGGGGTGGTTTATTACCTGCAATTGTTTGCTGTATGAAGTAGCGAGTTGTCCTTTTGTCTTTGATTAGGGCTGTGTGGTCGCTTTCTGTTGGCCAAATGTGAATCCCTCTTCCACCATGTCACTGCTCTCAATGAATGCCAGGGCTTACTTCTTTGTGGTTGTCCTGTGTCAATAAAGAAATGGTTTATAGTTATACATGAAATGCTAGAAATGGCCTTTTGTTAGACAGCTCTCAGACATTCATTTCTCTGGTATTTGACAATAAATCTTGGGCACATTCAGGGCCTGTTCCGTCTTTTGTAGTATACCACAAACACCTAACTAAAGTCAGTGGGAGACTGGCATGCATTAGAATCAGGCCATTAAATACAGTAGTAGAATAATGGTGTAACTTTCAATAGGTTTACAAGAAAATGAAGGTGCCTTCAAGGGGAGAATCTCCTGTCCTCATTCTTCAGGGGAATTCCATTGGCATCCAAATGTAATGCAGAGCATTTCTGTCCTCTGAACCAGATGATATCCTGAGACTTGCACAGAACTTAGATGCCCCATAGAATCCCAGTGCCCCCTTACAGCTGAAGTGTTTTCATGCAACTTTGGAGGAAGCTGCGTTCCCATGCAATCCCTACTGTTGGCTGGCCTGGAGACAGCTGCAGCCCCTGGGTATACGAAAAGGTGCATTTAGGGGAATGGGTCAAATTCATTATATGGGATTCGGAGGGATTCGGCTTCCTTGATCACGGATCTGGATTGAATCAACATTGTTGCTGAGGGACAGAATTAGAGGAGGTGATGTCAAGCAGTGCAGGCCTATCTGTTCATGACCATCTCATCCCAAACTGTATATTATAACCTTGGATACTGAGGCAGAGCATGCCACAGAGCTGCTGTTACTTTTCTTCTATATACCCCCATCTTCCACCACCATGGAGTTCCACCCGTTTTTGTGTTCATGTTAGTGAAGGGAGAAATATAGTTCAATAGGGTGGAGCTGTTACAGCACTGTGACTAAATAGAATCACCACAAGTTCACTCAAATGTTTCCCTTGTAATTAGTTTTTATAGGAAGGGATTAGGAAATAAGTTTAATAATATTTGGTTTATATCTGAGATTTGCAAGATTTCTATTAGCATTGTTGATTTTGGCTGGAGACATTTAGTTATCATGAACTTTTTCCTTCCCATCTATATTTATTACTCAAAAAAAGCAGTAATAATTAACCAGCATTGTAAAAGAACAATATTTTAGCAACAGAAAAGTGTGCCTTTTTCCAGTTCTTAGCTTTGTCCAAGAAAAATGTATTTAAAGATTTGGAAATATTGAGAAGAGTGTGATTTGCTAGATGTGTTAAAAAAGAAAGTGAGAGAGCCTGACAAATTTAGAAGCATAGAATATCAGAAAAGGAGCTATATGTCTTCTTTAAAACTTAAAGAGAATTCAGGTAGATTTCATTATGCCCCTCCTTTCAGTTTCTTAATCTATGCCTACAGGTGTGCCTTCACTTAGTATCAGTACTATAATGAGAATGTGGGTCTTATTTACATAAAATATCTTTTTAGCCTTCTGGAAAGTCAATAAATAAAGTAATCATTTATATCATAGTAAATATTTGCCTATATTAATTGAAATCAAAATATTTGTACTGGGGAGTACAGTGAACTGAAAATCTTTGATATGCAAATTTCAGCTTTACATCTTGGACTTGAATGAAGCATGAATGACAGTGTCTGAAAATAATTGTGCATTAAGAGATTTCTGTTTAAGTGTAAATTTTAGAAATTTGCATTAAAAGTTTTTAATAATTGGAATTGTAAAATAAAGAATGCTAGTATTTGAGCAGTAATAAATGACAGCAAAGGTCTGACATCATGAGTGAAAAATTGCTTCATATATTATCTCTGCAGTTGAGAAAAATCTAGATTAATTGCAAAAATATCTCCATGACAACACAGAGTAGTTTTTATCCCTCAAAGTGAAGTCATTGAGGTGCCTTAGATGAAGTTCTCCAGGCTCATTGTTGTACTATAATTTAATATACAGTCTACCTACCTACTTCCCAAATCCTTTTATTTTACAGTTTTTGATCTTCTTTCATCTCCCAGCCGGAGAGTGGTAACCTTTCTACAGCAAGCACTTGCTGATCCTACTTTGAATGAAGTATATGTGCTCTCAACATTCAAACTGCAGCCAAAGAGTACAGCCACCATATTTGGCTTATACTCTTCGGATGACAACAGCAAGTATTTTGAATTCACGGTGGTGGGGCGATTGAATAAAGGTAAGTCATTTGACACCAGCCCCTTTATTTTATGGATCTATAAATATTGACATGTCTGCAGTGGTCTTTACAACAGTGTTATTTAATGCTACTCTTCTGTTGTTTATTTCACCACTCATCACCAGCCCCTTCCTCTGCTCAGGACGATATAAGTGCTGGCAACATGCTTGCCTCCCCTTTTATGCTTCCTTGCACAGCACTAAACTACCCTGATGCCTCCTAACACGTGGAGACAAACTGGTATCTTTACTTTCTGCCAGCTAGCTTGCTATTAGCAGCACTGAATGTCTCCTAAAGGAACATTTAAAGTTGTTTTCCTTTTTTTCCCCTTTGGGACAATAACTGCTTCTGATTACCAAGGAATGTGACAGACACACGCACATGCTGCCTCGTGCATATGAAAGAAGGGTACTTGTGCCAGGGATCTGAAGTTTAGATTTGACTATGCAAGACAAATGTTTCTATCACTTATAGAATCTTTCAGGTGATGGAGAATGTTTGCTTTCTGTTTATTGGAATCAATTAATTAAGAAGCACTGTACAGAGTTGAGCAAAATTAGAAATATATTTGTTGAGAAATTTTATTCTAGATGTAGGAAAATTCTTCCACTCGCTTAAAAAAAACTTTAATTTTTTTAATTAGAAGATATAAAGGTACATACAAAGAAAAGCCTTAAAACCAAAGCTGTGGTCCTATAGCTCTGGAAATCTGCTTCTGGAGTAAGAACTGCAGGATCAGAACATGAACGAACACACACATACTTACTTTTTGCTGGGAAAAAAAAAAGTCATGCTTGTGTCTGATTTGCAAGATTTGCATGCCTGCAGATCTTTCTTGGTGTGAACTAAGATGCAGACTTTCAAGCTTTATAGACAATGTTTAAATTGTTCCATGGCAGTTCTTAATACGTTTCTATTGCAACAGGGATAATGAAGAATGAGCTACCTTCTCATTTTACATATGGTCCCTCTTTGTCAGGTTTGAGGCATATTAGGGGCAGTGTGGAGAAGCCTGTATGCCTCTATTAACTTCCTTTTGGATTCTTGAATATGTAGAGAACTTCAATCTACAAGGCTGCCACTCATGATATGTTAGATTTAGATTTAGGATAAATTAAAGAGACAAGAGATTCCTCAGTAGGGCTCTCCACTGAGATCTATTCCCCTCATTATTTTAGTGTGGTTAGCTTAGGATGTGAACATGTATAATTAGTTAATATTTATTAAGTGTTTTGAAAATATCAAGTGTGCAATACAATAGCTGTGAAGAGAAGAAACAACAAGGAGTGCGGTGGCATCTTAAAGACCAACAATTTTATTATGGCATAAGCTTTCATGAGTTGCAACTTCATCAGATGCATGACGGGAAAGAAAAAGAAACAGATAGTTGGGGTACAGTGTTACATCAGGGCTAATTCAGTCAGGGTGGATATGGATAAGAGGGTGAGAATATCTTGTAATTTTCCACTGTAGGTATTCTCACCTTCTTATCCACATTAACATGGCTACATCTGACACTGTGAAGAATAGGTTAGAATTAGAATTGGGCTTTTCACTACCGCTCATCTTAGCTAGATGATCACACTGAATCAAGAGATGATTTGTCATCCTTCTGAGGAAAAAAAATTGAAAAGGTTTTTCAGCCTTTCTTAAGACCATAGAATCATAGAGCTTGAAGAGACCTCAGGAGATCATAGAGTCCAGCACCCTGCCCAAAGCTATTGTGGCTGCCGCAGCTGCTGCATCCCTGGCCCCAGCTCCTGGCCCGCTACTGGGGCTACCGCGTCCATAGCCCTGCTAAATGGGCTGCTGTGGCCCCAGCTGCACTACCGGGGCTCCAGCCCCAGTACCAGCTCCAGCCCCGCTAGGCTCCCAGTCTCCAGCCCTCTTGTCACTGAAGCTCCCAGTCAGGACTTCCTGGTCCAGGAACATCCATGGTCCAGACCAGGGAGTCCTGGTTTTGGGAGGTCCAACCTGTGCTATCCTGGATCTGTAGTTTCACCTATAATTTTCTAAGTTCAAACCATTTTATTGGCTTTCAGGAGCCAGCATGACAGCGAATCTGTTTTTTAAACTGCAAGTAACTGAACACTTCACTGTCTGCAGGTTGTCCATATGAAGTGTTCTGATGGTGGATGGGAACTTGCAGGACCACAAGTGTTTAAAGTGTAACTGAGGTGGAAGTCCATCACAATTCTGCCCTCATCTTCAACAGAATTTTCCAACTTCCTCAATGGATTTTTGGCTTTGTCCCAATAAAGAATCCTTGGATCTTCCTTTCAAGCCAGAAAGTTCAGCTGTTCTAAAGCTATCCTGGCAGGTGGTCAGCAATCAGTTGTGTATTCCACCACTGTCCTCTCTTTTTTTCTCTCGGTCTCACTGCTGTCTTTGGTCTGACTGCGGGGCCCAGTTCCAAGGATCCTGCTTAAATATATCCCCATGCACATAGCAGTCACATAAGTAAATGCCTGCAACATATTGTTAGCCAAGTGAAACTCAGCATTTGCCAGCAAGCAGACTCACCTTTTGTCAAGTTACTGATGACTTCATGTGCTTTTAAGGAAATATCATCTCTGCTTCTTTTTGTACATCGATACTGGTGACAATAATTGAGTCCTTGATTGCAGCTGCTGAGATTTCCAGAACAGATGTGTAAACTAAAGATAGGTAGAAGAGGCCACATAAGCCAGAAGTGACTTAATCAGAATCATTGGAATTACTATAGATTTGTACTGGTAAAACAAAACAAATGCTGAAAGAAATTACCAAAAGAAATTATCAATGCATCAATGTCCAAATAAAACTCTAAGGAAGTTCAAAACACAGAGGAAGCACAAAGAGTCATTAATAATATAAAAAGAATAGTGGAAAACCCAGACTTTAAAATAAATGGCAAATAGAAGAGTTTCTTCAAGTCTAGAGGGTTGCAACCATGAATATATCATATGTAATATGTGCCATATGGCTTTACATTTAGGGAACATTTTTGAAGCTTTTACAGCATCCTACGTATAGACCTTCTGCCTCACATACGGACACTCGTTGGATAACTTACAGACTTCTCATTCCCAGGACCATTAAAATGTTGTGGAGTCTGGAGGAGTCTAGGTAGGAAGAATGTAACAACAACCTTTTATCCAATTAAAAAGAAGCTGCATTAAAAAAATTCTCCAAACACTTTTATAAGGTTACTAAAGATGAAGGAAGTACATGACTGTTGCTTATATATGTTATTAGCTTTGCTTTTAAGCAAATTTGAGATAATTACCATCCCCTTGAGATGTTTAGAAGTCAATGTTTGCAGGGCCAGATTCCAATAACCTTATTTAAGATAAGTCAGTGGGATGTTGAAAAGTAACTGTATGCACTTTAGATGTGCTTTCCCTGCTGCCGTTATAGATCTCCACATATGAGGGTAGCAATCTTGCTGAGCCTAAGAAACTGTGGACAGAAGAAAGTTTAGTGGGTAAACATAAGGATAAGTGCTGGGTGGCATCAGAGAAGTGTTTCACTCTCACTTGTAGATTCAGTTTCCATAGGGGATAGCTTTTTATCTTACTTTTTAAAGTTTTTTTTTTTCAATATTGTAATTTAGTTAACAAGAGTACCCTTTTGTGAAGTACAATTTATTCTGGGAGCCAGGTAAGAATATCAAGTAAGCCAGGTGATTTACAACTCTATAAGGAAGTGTTGAGAGATTTTAGTATTCTGTGTGCATTCTCTTCTGTGTTACTTTTTGCATTCATTTTCTGTTTATCATGGTGAAAGACAGATAAAGAAATGGAATCAAGTAGTAATTGACCATGTATTTGACTACACAATTGTTAGCACCCTTTGCAGAGATGTTATACTCATTATTGAAACTTACACTTGAGCTTTGTATTTCTGCTGCAGGGTAACTTTTAGATGTCAAATATAATTCTGACATACTATTTATTGCAGATTGCCAGTTAAATGCTGTACCACTATTAATAGGTATTTTATTACATTATGCCCTCTTATGATGACATATGCTCTATCATTTGAGTCATTTAAAATGAGCCTGAACAAAGCACTGGAGGATGATCTGTAGGCAACAATGCTGCACCTTTGGGGAGATGAATAAGAGTTCTCTTCCATCTGCATTTCCTGCTAGTCTATGTCAAATTTATTTTCCCTGCATATATTTGCATATGGGATACATTTGTTAAAGCAGAAGTGATGAAAGAAACCAGAGCAATGAGAAGTATTCTACAGTGATCTTCCAATCACCAGCCACTCAGATTATCAGGACCTGCCTCACATTTTGTGTTATCTGATAGACGTGTTGTGTTTTCTAACAGTCAGCCTGCGTTACTTGAAGAATGATGGGAAGTTAAACTCTGTGATGTTCAGCAGCATCCAGTTGGCTGATGGGAAGCGCCATGCAGTCCTTTTGAGGTTGAGTGGTCTGCAACGGGGATCCATCACAGCAGAGTTATATCTAGATTGCATGCAGGTGGATGCCATTCAAGGTCTGCCTAAAGCGTTTTCAGGTCTATACCAGAGCTCAGAGTCTCTGGAAATTCGCACCCTACAGAAAAAGGCACAGGTAAGCATGAAAACTTAAGAGCAAGTGGAGCAATTGGAAGGAAGGTATTACAGTAATCTGTAAAATGAATGGGAAATAGGATGGGTTCTTCAGATATGGAGTGAAATCCAGGCTGCACTAAAGTGAATGAGAATTTTGCCATTGATTACGAAGGGACCAGGATTTCCCCCAGTTTACAATTTACCTCACTAAGATGTTTTAGTCCAGGTATTACTTGAAGATCGGATCATTTGTAAATTGTTAATTATGGCAGATTTTCAGTAGGAACAATAGATAGACTGCATGTATGATCAATGTGCATGCGTACAAGAAATATGCAGTTTGATTCTTCAGTCTACAGTAATGACTGTGATTCAGAAATTGAAAGAAACCACACTGGCAATGGTCTGGCATCAAAATCCCAGCAATATGATTATAATCTTGCTCTCTACCTCTGCCTGGCTATTCCAAGCAGGGAGCTGATGCTTTTCTTGTGATTTCCACATCAACAATCCTAGGAAAACAATATCTGACAGGAACACAGAATGAATGAATATGTTCCATCATTGCAAATAGTTGTGTGCAAAATATTCATAACAAAATGGAAAACTAGTAAAAAATGAAGTATTTTCCTCTTGTTTTATTGCAAACTTGAAAAGGAGCCCATTTCAATGACACCCATTGAAGGTTAAGGTATGGTAACCAATTTTTTTGATCATGATTTTGTTTTCAAGAAAAATGCCTTTGCATTGAAATCACAGAAGATTTTTTAATATTGTTATTACAGCAATATCTTTGACCTTTGTTGTGTGAAATCATGTGATTCAAAATGGCAAAAATATAAATCTGTGTGGAAAAACTACAAAACCACAATGTGGGGTTTTGCCCAGGTCATTACAATGTCTTCTGTCAAAAGGATTTTAAGGAATGACCAAAGTAGTTAGGAGGTGCAGTAGTTTGGCTACTAAGCCATTCCACTCAGCACAGATTTAGAGCTGTCCACACATTAGTTAAGAGGCTTGCCCTATTTCAAGAATTGCACTGGAGATGGAAACTGTGAATTTCTCTCATTGCTCCAGGACACTTTGGATGAACTGAAAGTGGTAGTGAAAGGCTCACTTTCTCAAGTTGCAAGTCTGCAAGATTGCTTCCTTCAGCAGATTGAGCCTGCTACTCAGAACACAGGTAAATAAGTTAAATTACCTTGCGTCCATAAGATATCCTGAGGAACCAATTACAGTGTATTTTATGAACTTGAAGAAGCCATTCAATTTAATTAGGACAATCAAATAAAAATGTACATTACAGTCATGAGTCTAAGAAAAGTCACATGATGGAGAGGAAAACAGTCACAGGTGCATATAATGAAGCAATAAGTCACTGACACAGTAATGGGAAAGACAGTGGTTCTGGGAAAGGGCTTTTCTTATTTGAAGGAATGCTCCAAGGTAGCAGGACAATCCCACTGCTCTTTCGCTAGGTTCTCACAGAGCCGGTGAAATGGTTCTGCTTGAAGTAGAGGATCTAATTGTTTTGCGTTTTTAAACAGATTTCTTTTTACATGTAACATAATTCCTGGTTATTGAGTCATCCAGATGGTGAGCAGCAAAAGGGTAAGGGCTGCTGTGATTCCTCTCCCACACAGTAAGAGGTGAAGGAGTAGACAGGGAAGAGCAAACTGATTTATTGACAAACTGTGACTGTTTTCGTATGCCTGGAGATGGGAAGATTAGAATAAGTTAGTGCTGTGTGTACAAAATTACATGCAAAAAATGAAACCAATAGGGCCTGTTTAAGAGTAAAAATGTCCTTGTAAATAACAAACAGGATCTGTGACAAACCTTCTGCCCTCCCCTGCCAAAACCACGGTTTTAATATAGTTGGGAGCCAGGGTTCATCATTTTTACACAAGAGTACCTTGTCTGGAAAACAAGTTTTCTGTTTCACTAAAGTTTTCAGAAGTCTCAAAAGTTGTTTTTGTCCTGCTACTGTAAAAGCCTGCAGCCGGATAGTTGGAACATTTCCTCAAATTATCCTGCTCCAAAGCAGAGACTTGAATCTGAGTCACCCACACCCTAAGGGAGTATCTGACCACCAGGTAGTTTGGGATGGGAGTGCTCTCATTTTGACTAGAAATTCTCTAATGGACCTGAGAAACCTTCCTGTTCAAAATTTCATCAAAACAGATACATTTTCTTTGTAAATTTCAGCTTCCATGAATCAGCATTTTCTGATGGGGAAAAAACATTTTATTGAAAAATTCCTGACCGACCAGCTGTTTGTATGTGTGTTAGATTAATGATTATGGTTAAGATTCTGCCATGGGTGTTTTTAGTGAAAGACGGGGACAGGCTGTGGACAATGAAAAATTCATGGAAGCCCATGAAGTCTTTGTCTATGTTTTACTAAAAATACTCAGGGTGGGGGGACTAGCAGAGGAAGGGCCACAAGTAGGGTTGCCAAGTGTCTGGTATTGACCCAGACAGTCTGGTATTTTTGTCTCCTGTCCTTTAAAAAAATTCAGAAAATACTGGACACCTAAAATGTCTGGTATTTTCTGATTTTTTTTTTTTCCCTGCCAGGAGGCGAAAATACCAGACACCTGGCAACCCTACAACACACTCAGCCCACGGGCCCCCCGCCAGACCCCCTCCCACTTACCTAGTTCTGCAGGCAGGGGCGGATATAGGGCAGGGCAAACGGGGCAGCCGCCCCGGGCCCCGAGCTTCAGAAAGCCCCGCGCATGCGCCGTGGCGCCGCTGCGCATGCACATGGCGTCACTGCACATGTGCCGTGGCAAAGGGGGGGGCCCGCAAAACTGTCATCTGCCCCTGTCTGCTGGGGCTTGTCTTGTGGCTGAAACAGAAAAACAAAATGGCCACCAGCAAAAAAATCCTGTTCTTAAAGGAGCCATGCTGATTTTTAATTTTTAACTGCTGTCGGGGTCCCTTTTCTTTGCTCAGCAACTTTAGTCTCCCCCTTTTTTTCCTCAACAGAATTTTTTTCCCGGTATTTTTTTGGGGGAGGGGGGTATTCGGTATTTTTGGTTAAACCATTCGGCAACTCTAGCCACAGGGGCACCATTGAGGGCCACTGCTCTCGTGGCTCTGGGGATAAGCTGCCTGCCATGGCTCTAGCAGCCCTGTAACCTAAACTGCAAACCCATCTCTCTCTCAGTCCCCCTCTACCTGCTGCTTCAGCCCTGGGGCTGCTGCTCTGGCAGCCCTGTGGACTGGCTGCCAGTTGCTGCTCTGGTAGGCTTAGGCCTAACCACAGCTCTGATCATACCGCTGTCTGAGGAAGTCATAGAGGTCTGCACAAGTCACAGAATCCATGACTGCCATGACCTCTATGACTATCAAAACTTTTTTTATATTATAACAACAACAATAGATATGTTCAAGATGTACTGCTCTACTGAGCAGAATTTGATCTATGTTTACCAGAAACAAACAGTTCCCCGGAACTAGCTTTAAACACTGTTCATCATGTTGAGAGTGGAAAGAAAAGCCAAATAAGTGTACATACTATCAGAGCTGCTCTTTGGCTCACAGTGTATGTTACTGAGATGTACAGAGCATCATAATAAATGCATTCAGAGTATTAAGTAACTGGAAAAAGTCCTCCACGCTGAGAAATGTGCATGTGTTGCTGTTGAGTCAGAGATGTGCAGTCGTGACATTAGCATACATTTCTGTAGTGTACTTTTTATCCTTTGTATGGCTATTTTGGCACCCTAAAAACTCCACCACAGAAGTGTCTCCTTTTATTTTGAAAATAAGATCACCTGGCCCGAGATTAGTCATCTCATTCTAGTTACAAGCGGAACCACCAACAAAACTAGCTCTAACTGGTGTACTTATTGACACTCAGCAAAGAGTCCAGACACTAAATGGGCAGGGAGCTAGAACTCCTCCCGTTCTTTGTAGATGGTTCTCCTACAATGTGGCACCAATGTGAGGAAGCTGAGTTTCCTCTGCTTTTACTCTCCCTGTCGTGCAGCTAAAAAAAAAAAAAAAGAGTTCCATCTTCAGTGCCTCGAATCAAGTATCTTTGAAGAATACTGAGTTCACAAAGATGCTTTCCTAAAAATCCAAGTTATGTTTTTCTCTTACGTGTTCTCTACCTACTTATACTAAGATATTATGAGTTATCTGCTCTAGCTCATCCTTTAAGACAATTTCAGTTCCAATTTCAGTGCTGATAATGGAAAATGAACAAAAAGCTTATAATGTTGTGTATATCTTTCTTTTTTCTTTTTTGTTGTTGGTACAGATGATTTTAATAGGCAATTCATGGGTCAAATGATGCAAATGAACCAAATGCTAGGAGATGTGAAAGACCTTCTCAGACAGCAGGTATTGTAAGAAGCTTTCATCACAAATCCCTGAAATCCAGATTAGAGCACTGCTTCGTGCAGCACTGGGCAGAATTTACCCAAGTGTATTGTTCCTGTGTAAAGCTCTAACCCTAACCCCATAGGGGATCTGCACCTTTGGCATGTTGTGGAGGGGCCAATGGAGGTGGGACAGAAAATGGCCTACTTATATAGATCCAGTGGTCAGAAACCCCTGCATACAGACAGGGTGAAGAGCTGCAGCTACTGTTTTAGCCCATTGACTAGAATAGATCAAGATAATCTTACACAAATAAAGGAAAGTAAATTAACTACACTATTGGCCTCAGTGAAGTCACTGTTGTTTTACTGTTTTGCTATAAGTTATTTATTAATTGTGGGCCTGATTCTGCAAACACTTTCTGTGGCACTTAGGCCCCAGTTCAGCAAAGCATTTAGGTATATGCTTAAGTCAGCCTCGATTTAGCAAAGTGTTCAAGCACATGCTGAACTTTAGGCTAATGCTTAAGTCACATTTAAATCAGTGGCATCTAAACTCATGCCTGCAGTTAAGCAATTATTAAAAGTTTTGCTGAAGAGGGCTGGATAGGATCACAAAGTCATACATTTCACCACCATGAATAGCCCTATGGCAGTCAGTGTACACGCCTATAGAAAGTCAGTCTCCATAAAAGAGGATAGGACTACGCATTAGGGATGTAAAAACTTTTAACCATGTAACCAATTTAATTTCAATTGGGTACACGATTAAACACTCTACAGGCTCCTGGTAATTGCCGGCCCCGCAGGCTTTGGATGGTGGCCAGGAATTTAACCAGTTAAACTCTTACATCCCTATTGGAAGATACTCTGTGAATGTTCAGTGATTTTTATTAACATCTAGACAAGACATAATACTGCTATGGGCAGCCAGATACAAATTAGAGCACTCAACTAATACATATATTTTATATTTTCTAAAGATCAAGGAAACAACTTTTTTGAGAAATACTATAGCAGAATGCCAGGCGTGTGGTAAGTATTTCTGTATTTCCTATACAGTTAATTTAGGACCAAATAGGATTTGCAATTGTTTAAAATAAAGATTCACTGGATTGCAACTATATGATTTATAGGAAGTATTTAAACATTCTTCTGGTCTCTAAGCATCTTTGACTTAAATTAAAAATAGATTCCTATTGGGGTAAAGCCTAAAGCTGCTATGCCCACAAAAACCAGAAAATAACCAGTCAAAACCAAAAATTACGTTACCTCAGCTAACAACCAGCCCTCATCAAGCCTCTACCTTAGGAGCTTGGTCTTATACGATCATGCCAGGGAGATGACAGCATTCAGGCTATTTCAGAGACCAGGAGTTAATTAAGTTCTAGTTGAGAGCCCATCAAAGAGATTATCATGACAGCAGTTCTCTCTCTTTTAAAGTGATGGTGCTCCAGCACCTCCGGTGACCACCATTCTGGCAGTACTTCATGGGAGGGGAAGATGGAGGTATTCCCCATCAGGAAGGTCAAAACCTTCTCTAAAAGCGACGAGGAGTCCTGTGGCACCTTATAGACTAACTGAAGTGTAGGAGCATAAGCTTTCGTGGGCAAAGACCCACTTCGTCAGATGCATGTAGTGGAAATTTCCAGAGGCAGGAATAAATATGCAGGCCAGGATCAGGCTGGAGATGACCAGGTGGATCCAATCAAGGAGGATGAGGCCCACTTCTAGCAGCTGATCTGGAGGTGTGAATTCCAAGAGAATAGAAGCTGCTTTTGTAGTTAGCAAGCCATTCACAGTCTTTGTTTAATCCAGAGTTGATTGTGTCAAACTTAAAGATGAACTATAGCTCAGCATGCATCTGACGAAGTGGGTCTTTGCCCACGAAAGCTTATGCTCCTACACTTCAGTTAGTCTATAAGGTGCCACAGGACTCCTCGTCGCTTTTGCAGATTCAGACTAACACGGCTACCCCTCTGATACTTAAAACCTTCTCTGTATGTCATATTGTTGCAGCTGTGTCGATCCCAGGATATTAGAGAGTCAAGGTGGTTGAGGTAAAGATAACACCTCAGTACCTCAAGTTCTACCTGAATGTAGATTGTGAACTACCAGTGCCACGTGGTCTCTGGGGAAAACTGCTTAATATGCATGTTACTAAGACTCTTTGTAAAAGAAATGAATAATTAGACAGCCACATTCGGCGTCAGCTCAAGTTGCCAGGCTGATTGAGGGAATCTGTGCAAACCCTGCATCCAAGTTGTCTAATCCTGAAGTGACAAAGACTTAGATACAGTAGCATGGTCTGTATTCAAAAGAAATGGCTGGTCTCCTGGCCAAACAGAGGATATGAAACCTTTTTGGACAATTCTCTAACACAACAGATCCCCTAATACAAACTCTTTTACCAAGCAGAGGACACATTCCTTTATTCAGAGGAGTAAGCATAATGGTTCCCAGATCTTCCAATAGCTTTTCCTAAACTACCACCCCCACCCCCTGAAACTCATCTTGATTGAGCTTCAGCCAACTTAGGTTTCATACCTGCGAGACAAAGATTGGAGGCACAGGAAGTTTCTTTAAAATCAGCCAAAGGGATAAATTACACATTGTTACCATTATGGCACAAGTCCCATTCTCCCAGATTTTTCCTTTCCCACTCTGGTCAGTCTCTCAGTACATGAAAAAATGTTCTGGATACCTTGATACATACCCATTATGCTGCTACTTGCTGCCCTCTCCGTCACCTTTTTCATTCCTTGTAAATTCTGATGTCTCAGAGGTGAAATAATAGCTCGGTTTTTTTATGCTGAGGGCAGTATTGCTGATTTAGTCAAAATAATGGCTCACCTTGTCTTTCCAATAGTACCATCAACTTACAATCCATCTGGGACCTGTTCTCCATTTATCTTTGGTGGATTACTTTGACCTGCACTTATTGCTTTCCTTTGGCCAGCAGCAGAAGTTATAAATCTGCTCTAGGACTCACTCAGCAGAAAGATATCCATATCCCTGTGACATATGCACCATAGCCTTAATTTCCACTGTTCTGCAGATTCTTCATTAGTTCCAAAACAAAAGTCTCCTCTGTCACAATCCAAGAAGTTGCTTCTGCATCAGCCCCAGGCCAGCCAATATAAAGGATGTTTATGATGCAGAAATATAATCCCACTGCTCAACAGTGGATTAGGTATCTCCTTAGAACTCTTGCCAACTGAAATGCATGATGGATATTTCCTTGAATCACTAAAACTACTGTTCTTTCTACTCAAAGGTTTGGGAGCTGAAAACTTTCCAACTCTTCCCCCCCAACCTCCTAAACCTAAATGCGAAGCCAATTCCTGTTTCAGAGGGGTCAGGTGCAGAGAGACAGATGATGGATTTCAGTGTGGGCCTTGTCCCGAAGGGTTCACGGGAAATGGAGTTACATGCTCAGATATTGATGAGGTAAAATATTGATTTGTAAAAAGAAAAAAAATCCCAGTTCATTTCTCACATAAATGGGTCATGGACTCTTGCTTATTGCAGCATTCACTACCTGCCTGCACCATTAATATTAATGCACCCTGGGCCCAGTTCTCCACTCCATTATATCAGAGCTATGTTACCACGACTCCATTGTTGTCAATGGAGTTACAGGGATGAAAATTTGGAGTTGCGCTGTGGTGAATCAAGGCTGCCATATTTATTTTTCAAGTATCTGCAGTACGTATTTTCATTTTACTCCTCACTGAATATTACATTGAAAGGGCAGAGCTATTTACACAATTATTGGCATACCACAAAAAGATTAAATATCAGTTATGGGGCAGAACTACAGAAACACTTTCTGTTGATTTGGATTTTATTTCTTTGAATTGTAGTGTTCATAATAAAAAGTTTCAGTTTAACAGCCTTGGAGACTGAAGTCAGTTTATTCACAGAATTGGCCAGATTTTCAATTCAGCCTTAAAGTCAATTGCAAAGGAATAAGCATTGGGATGGTGCCCTTTTCATTTCTTTATGATGTAAAATGAAAATCTAAAAGGTTTATTTTTACTTTGGGGTGGGGAAGTGGTTTTACATTAGAAATTTAGGTTTTCTTCACGCTTCAAGATTTGAGAATTAGCAAATTAATAACATCTGAAAAACCAAGGGAATTAAGCCTGATTAATCAAAAAAGGAAGTAAGAATTATATAGAAATATTTGAAAATAACACCCACCACCTACACTTCCTTGGTCCTGATTTTCAATGTTTTATACTAGTTGTTGTGGGGAAAGACCATGTTGTAATAGAGCAGAGAATCAGGTTCTTTGTACAGTATTATGATTGGCTGCAGCATTTAACTCAAAACAGCTTGGTGAGAGGGGAGTTTCTCTTGTTAAGGATTCAATACTCCCAGTCCCTTGAAACTGAGGGCTGACAAAGCTTCCATCCCACACTTTTAAAAAAATGGTTCAATAAAAAAAGCATTCGATATTCCTGATATTTTGAAGGGGAGAATAAAATGTTATTCTTTGTACACCATAAAGGAGTATTAAAAAAGCACAAATTTCTTTCTTGGACAGATTTCCGTATTTATACCTGCAGGTTTATGTCTGCAGTTATTTGCCCCCTTGTGGCCAGTGTCTCATCCATGGTTACCTATTTTCTACACCTCTGGGTACTGCCCTTCCACAGTGTCCCCTCTGAGAGCCCCTGGGGTTCCCCTCCTCTGAGAGACCCCTCCTCCCTATGTCCACCTTCCCTCAGTGACCTACTGCCAGTCATCATCTAGTCTAGCCCCTTATATCAGGAGCAAACTGCAGTCTGAAATGGCCACTCATCATTGGCAAGGAGAGGGACAGCTTTAACGAGCATGGGGCCCAAATCCAGGGGAGGCCCTGCGAATGCGCCACGTGCCTGGGACGGCACGCTGCGTGCGCCATGCACCTGGGACAGGGCCCCATTCCAGGGAATCGGCCTAAAGCCGGCCCCGCAAGGGAGTGTGGAGCTGCTGCCTTTGCCTACCCTGGCTGCCCCTCTGCAGCCTTTGTACCCTCAGGCCTTGCATCATGCCCTGCAGCCTAGGAGCTTGCCTGTCCAGAATTTCCCCAGCTCTACCTGCCTTTCCCCAGCCCTATTCTAACTACAGTCCTAGTATTCTCAGGCCTTGTCTCAGGCCATGCAGCCTGGGAGTGAGGTCAGGCCAGAACTCCCCAGGTCTGCCTGCCTCTTCCCAGCACTATCCTGTATCCAGAAGCTTCCAACTTCCTTGGCAGCCACATCCCTCCTGCTCCCTAACCAGAGCAAGAGTCAGTCTCTCTCCTTCCCTCCTGGAGCCTGTATTTATACTCCCCTCAGCTGGGCCCTAATTGGCTAGTACCTGCCTCAACTGCTTTGCTCTCATCCCTCTCCCAGGGCTGTTTTACTTTTAAAGGGCCAGTGCAGGCAGATGTCCCATCACACTGCACTATGCAGACCTACTGACTCAAATCTGCATTTTGAGGTGTATCCACATTGCAAAATGGCAGCATTTGGACCCGAGTTGCAGTGGGACTCAGGCTCTCACTCCACCTCACTCCAAGCTAGCAGTGTCTATGTACCCGGGTTCTGAGTATTTGCTAACCAAATCAAACTGGTTTGTTTGTGGACAGAATGGGGCTTGGGCTCAAACTGAGTCAGAGTCTGCAATGCAGATATAGTCTTGGAGGGCTGTAACTATGATTCCCAGCCCAAGCTGACAGACTCTGCTAGCTTGGCTTGAGCTAGCCCACTAAAAATAACAATGTGGATATTGTGCTGGGTGGCAGCTTCAGCTAGCTGCCGGAGCCCAGACGCTGAGTGAGCTTAGACATGGGGGACTAACCGGAGCCACCACCCATGCAGCAGGTTTTTGTGAGAGTCTGGCTATCCACACTGGGAATTTCACTTCCCAATTGCCATATAGACGAACGTGAGACATTTAATCTACAGATGTACATTATAACATCTAAGCATCTAAAAATAGGAATAACAATCTCTCTTTCTTTCTCCCTAGCCCGTAGGAAAAGTGGCTTGAGTATTTTATAGCTGTTTTGCTTGCCGTTTGATGTTTTGTCATGTCAGGCATGTCAGAGAAAAAAGGTGCATGAGTCTATTTGTGTATGCTTATGAAAAATCTTAGAGAGGGAAAACTAAGCTAAAGAAATTGAATGTTGTGATTCGAGTGAGGTGCTTAAACATCACATGATATGAATTGCATCTACTGTTATATCAAGCATAAAAATGGAGGTCTGGATTTGTGAATAGCGTCCAATAGGTATAGCACAAACAACAGTTGTGTGAGCTTCCTCATATTACCTTACTCCTCTCTCTCAGCCCAGACCTGGATGGACCTTACCAATGGTACATAAGAATGGCCATACTGGGTCAGATCAAAGGTCCATCTCGCCAAGTACCCTGTCTTCCAACAGTAGTAGATGTGCAAGGGCACATTAGTCTCTAGGGGTATGTCTACACTACCACCCTAGTTCGAACTAGGGTGGTAGTGTAGACATACCCCTAGAGAAATGAAGCCCGGGATTTGAATTTCCCGGGCTTCATTTGCATAAAGCCGGGCGCCGCCATTTTTAAATGTCCGCTAGTGCGGACTCCATGCCGCGCGGCTACACGCGGCACGGACTAGGTAGTTTGGACTAGGCTTCCTAGTCCGAACTACCGTTACTCCTCGTGAAATGAGGAGTAACAGAAGCACCTACCTAGAACTACCGCGTGTAGCCGCATGGCACGGAGTCCGCACTAGCGGACATTTAAAAATGGCAGCGCCCGGCTTTATGCAAATGAAGCCCGGGAAATTCAAATCCCGGGCTTCATTTGCAACTCCGGTTGCCTACATTACCACCCTAGTTCGAACTAGGGTGGTAGTGTAGACATACCCTAGGAGACTTCCCTGCCCCGGTGATTTTAAGCAAAAAGCTCCCATTACTAACATTGGAACAGCTCCACGAAAGGTAGAAGTTGTGGGAAGACTAACGCAGACTGGTCACTTGCTTGAGTCATAGTCAGATCACACAAAACACAGGCACTAGTGTCCCTTCCATGGTGTAGCTGAGTTAGCATCAGAAACCATTGGAAAAATTTGACCAAAGAGATCTAAGACAGATGTGAGACATGTTCATTCAGATCTTTGCCTTTATGCTGATACTTTCAATACATTACGGCTACGGCTACACTGGTGCAGTCTCATGCAAAAACTCTTTTGCGGAAGAGTTCTTCTGCATAAACTCTTCCAGAAGAGAGTGTCTACACTGGCATGTGCTTTTGCGCAAGAGATGTGCTTTTGCGCAAGAGCATCCATGCCAGTGTAGATGCTTTCTTGCGCAAGAAAGCTCTGATGGCCATTTTAACCATAGGGCTTTCTAGTGCAAGAAATTCATGTTGCCTGTCTACACTGGCCTCTTGCACAAGAACAGTTGAGAAAAAGGACTTATTCCTGAGCAGGAGCATCAGAGTTCTGGCGCAAGAAGCACTGATTTCATACATTAGAACGTCAGTTTACTTGCACAAGAACACGCAGCCAGTGTAGACAGGCAGCAAGTTTTTGCACAAGAGTGGCCACTTTTGTGCAAGATTGCACCAGTGTAGACACAGCCTTCCAGTTAATGTGGGGCTTTTTCTTTACAGGAACACATCTGTTAAAAATTGGAATGATGCCTACAATTCACCTCACATAGGTCACCAAACAGCCATCAAGTCAAAACAGCTTTCACTGGTTTAAATTAGGGTGACCACCTTTTCAAAATGCAAAAATGGGACATGTGCAGGAGCCCCACCCCATTGTTGGCCCCACCTCACTTCCTCCACTTCCCCAGAAGCACCACCTCTGATCAGGCCAGAAGGTGGAGTCAGCCATTGGTCAAAACAGCCCAGGAGCCCAGATTGCTAAGGGACTCCACAGACCCTTTACATGCTTCAGGCAGAAAGCTGTGGTGCACAAGAACAGCCCTTAGTCTATGCCCCTACACCCCAAGGTACACCAACCAGGGCAGGTGGAAGGTCCAGGACTCTGGAGCTCCCCTCAACATCCCAGGCTCCCTGGGCAACTTTTGCTACTTCCCAGCTCCAGCCTCTGGACTAGCAAGGAGTAGGCCCTTGGGTGGAAGAGGAGGAGGCAGAGCCTCATGGCTGGGGGAGGGAGGGTCTAAGGTCCACCTCAGTCCCCCTGACCCTAAGGAAGAGGCTGACGCTGTCCCTGAATTATGAGCAGGCACGGAGTGGCACCACAGGGTATCCAGGAGAAATGCTGTCCTGGAGTTATTCAACTGAGGATCAGGACTTGAAATGTGCATTTTGGGACTGTCCTGCCCAATTAGGGCTGCACTGGAACTAAGGGAATTCTCTCTATGTCCTTATCCATCATCAAACTGTCCAGATGTCCAGGCAGGAAAGTAACAGAGCTTTTAGGAATTTGATACAGGACTTTATGGAATCAGGGCATTTTAACAGGCATCAGTATGCAATAATTGTTCAAAAGTTCTTCATCCTGTCTGAGACCTGAGACTGCTAAGAGGCTTTACTAGATAGATGTTAGCACCAACCCAGAAGTATGGCTGATTTGTTTGGGGATGCACATCACAGCCTTAAAACATTGTCTTCATATATATTTTGAACTGCATCAATAATTCTCAGAGGGGTAATTGGTAACTTTAAAAACAAGTAGTCCTGGGGCGCCTTAGAAACTAACAATATATCATGAGTTTTCATGGGTAAGACCCACTTCATCAGATGAGTTGGAGTGAAATTCTGTTATTTCCACTCCAACTCATCTGATGGAGTGGGTTTTACCCCTGAAAGCTCATGATACTATATATTTTTGTTAATCACCACAGGACTACTCATTGCATTAATAATCTTCAGAAGGGTAGCTGAGCTAGATGCTACTAGTCTATTTTTTGTTCAAGCTTTTCCTGCATTAATAATGACATTGTTTGAGCGCCCTCTACTGGCTAAAAAAAATCTACATTTTCAAATCAAGAGCTACATTGGGTCTAATGAGCAAGAAGTCAGTCTTATATTTAAGATCACCTTTCTGATTATGCTTTTATTAAATCTTTTATTCAATTAGACACCAATGCATACTTTGCTTCTTCTTCCTTAAGATAATTTTGTGTTTAGCCATCTGTTACTGTGGTATTAAAACATCTGATACATGTACAGAGACACACAAAAGATACATATAGTTCAGCATCTATTATTCTGGTTTGTTTTGTTATTTTTATGGGCATTTTTTCTTAACGCCTAGGCTGATAATGACAGAATTACAGAGATGTAGGAATCAAAGGGTATTTGAGAGATCATCTAATACATCCCCCCCATGCTAATGCAGGGCCAAGTAAACCTAGACCATCCCTTACAAGGTGTTTGTCCAACCCATTCGTAAAAGCCTCCTGTGATAGGAGGCTCTCTTTGTCACCTCTCTCAGTGCTTAACTACCCTTATAGTTATAGGCTGTGTCTACACTGGCATGAATTTCCGGAAATGCTTAAAACGGAATACTATTCCGTTTTCAGTTTTTCCAGAAAAGGAGCATCTACATTGGCAGGCTGCTTTTCCGGAAAAGCCCTTTTTCTGGAAAAGCGTCTGTGGCCAATGTAGACGCGCTTTTCTGGAAAAGAGCCCCGATCGCCATTTTCGCGATCGGGTCTTTTTTTCCAGAAAAGACTACTGAGCTGTCTACACTGGCCCTTTTCCGGAACAGTGTTCCAGAATAAGGATTTATGCCCGAGCGGGAGCAGAATAGTTTTTCCGGAATAGCGGCTGATTTTGTACAGTAGAGCATCGTTGCTTTTCCAGAAATTCAAGGGCCAGTGTAGACAGCTCGCAGCTTATTCTGGAAAAGCGGCTGATTTTCCGGAATAAGTGGCCCAGTGTAGACACAGCCCTGATGTTTGTCTTAATAGCTAACCTAAATCTCCCTTGCTGCAGATTAAGCCCTCTATTTCTTGTCCTACCTTACCTGGATAACAATTGATCAGTGTCCTTGTTATAACAGCTCTTAACGTATCTGAAGACTGTTTTCCGGTTTCCCCTCCCAAGTTGTCTTTTCTCAAGACTAAACATGCCTACTTTCCTTAACCTTTCCTCAAAGCTCAGGGTTCTAACCATTTATAATTTTCATTGTTCTCCTCAGGACTTTCTCCAATTCATCCACATCTTTTCTAAAGTGTGGTGTCCAGAACTGAATACAGTACGGGTACATCTACACAGCAGAATTATTTTGGAATAACTGATGTTTCGAAATAGTGTGCATCTACACTGCAAGCCATTATTTCAAAATAATGTCGAGATGGAGGACTTCTTACTCCAACTCCCGTAACCCTCATCTCGTGAGGAGTAAGGGAGGTCGAAGGAAGAGTGTTCTTCCTTCAACTTCCTGCTTTGTAGACAGTGCCAAAAGCTGAATTAAGCTATTTCGACATCAGCTACACAGTTGGCATAGCTGAAGTTACGTATCTTAATTTGACTTTACCCTGCAGTGTAGATGTGCCCTACTGCAGCTGAGCCCTTACCAGTATCAAGTAAAGTGAAACAATTACTGTTAATGCCCCCCACAATTACCCTTTTTAAAAATTTATAATCCACTGTAAACCCAGCTCTTTTTCAGCAGTACTCCGGTCTAGCCACATATTCCCCATTTTGTATTTGTTCATGTGATTTTTTCCTTCCTAAATGAAGTACTTTCCCCTTGTCTTTATTGACTTATTGTGTTGATTTCAGATCAGTTCTGCAATTTATCGAGGCTGTTTTGAACTCTAATCATGTCTTCCAAAGTACTTTCAACCCCTCCCAAGTTGGAAGTGTGTTCTCCACTCCATTATCCAAGTCATCAGTGACAATACTGAATAATTCCAGACCCACTAGATAATGGTGGGAAGAGCAGGCATCCTTTAAAATATTTTATATTTTCTATTACTTGTGTAGCCATCTGTTTGAACCATACATAGGGAGATAGAAAATGAACATTTTCAGGATTTGCCTTCCTATTAGCAAATGGTGTTAGTATTTGACAAATATGACTGACTAGGACACATAGCCATTTAAACTCAGACCACTCCCTCCCCCCATATTTTATCAAATAGCAGCATTTTGCTTTTGTTTGTATGTGCACAGTCATTTCCCCACAATCTCATGACTGCCACAATTCCAGGGCTTTTTACTTATTTTGGTTATGCCCATTGTACAGTAAAACTCTGATAGTCTGGCATCCAACTATTCGGCACGCCCGATACTCCAGCATCAAAATGCCAAGTGCTCCTGACCAGCTGATTAAAAAGCCTGCTGCTCAGCACCCGTGCTGCCTGTAACCAGACAGAGCATAAGGTTGGGGGGGAGTGGGATCTTATTACAGTATGGAGAAGAGTGTTTTGCTTCAGCAAAGGGGAAAGGGGAGGGAAGGAGAGGGGAAGGAGGATCAGGTTACAGCACAGAGGAGACTGGAAGAGGAAAGGGGAGGGAAGTGGGAGGGAGATTGTGTCCTGGCCAGCTGTTAAGCCCTGCAGCTGTACCAGACCTCCCGATTCTCCAGCAAATCTGATAATCCGGGACCACCTAGGTCCAAAAGGTGCCGGATTATCAGAAGTCTACTGTAGCGATACTTTGTCAGACTTCAGAGGATGCTGAGTCCATACCACGGAGGCATGGGCGAGCCGGGCAGCTGCCCAGGGCTGTAACCCATGGAGGGCGCCTGATGGCAGCTGTAAGGGGTGCGCAGCGTCCCTTACAGCTGCCATCAGGAGACAAGTGCATGGCTCCCGCAGTGCCAGCCCCGCGGCGCTTGACAGCAGTGCCCTTGCCCCTACGGCTGCGGGGTCATGCACAGCCCGGCGCGTGCGCTAGCAGCGCTGGCCGAGCCGGGCTGGGCAGCGTATGCGCCATGTGCTCTGGGGGCAGGCCCTCGCACCCTGGGGGGCGGGCACGCGCCCCATGGGCGGGCCTGTGCATGCACCCTGTGCCTGGGAGCGGCGCCGCATGCCCAGGCCCAGGGTGCCAAAAGGTCTCGGGCCGGCCCTGCATGGAGGGGAGATATGGGCTCATGATTTGAGCAACTTCTAGTGCAACTGTACAATTCAATATTATTTAAGTGCTGTTTAGAGTGTTATATTTTAGAAGCTGAGATTGTTATCAAATCACTGATCCAAGTTCAATGATTAATTTGTCTTTTTAGTGCCGCTATAGTCCATGCTTCCCTGGGGTGCTTTGTGTGAACATTGCCCCAGGCTTCCGATGTGAGGCCTGCCCTCCAGGATACATAGGCCAGGCAGTTCATGGGGTAGGAATCAACTCTGCCAAGAATAATAAGCAGGTAAGTGGCTTACATACGCTCCGCCATCTCCACTGAGAGAGACTAATTTGGTATTACTTTTTTGTTTTCCAAATACAGCTTAAAACAAAACTATCAAACATTCCAGTGTCTTGGGCAGTCCTGTGGAGATTGTTGTGTTATCGAATAGATGGCTACTTTATTTTTTCCCTGACTTTAACAGCAAACCAATAGGTTAATGCAGGGTGATAGGAAGACAGGAGAAGGACTTAGCTAGTGAGAAACATCCTGTAGGATTTGATATGAAGCAACTGGTACCTGTGAGGGAAAGGGATGCATGGAGGGCCACCCATAGAGGTAAGGAGAGGCATGTCAAGGCACCTCATTTATCAATTAAAATTCTGGTGGGCACATGGAGGAGGTGTACTTCCTGAGTGCTACCATGAGTTACCTATGGATTTGATAGAAAATGCCAAACTTTCTGTAGGTCTCTCTGGTATCTTCTAATGGAGAATTATATTCTTTCTGTAAGGGTGTGTCTAAACTACACCCCGCGCTTCATTTGAATAGAAATGGCCGCTGCTTTTTGCCAACACGGCACTTTGCCGGCAAAAAGCGGCAGTCTAGACAGGGATCGGTCGACAAGGAAAACCTTTTCTGACTGATCCATTATGCCTCGTGCAACGAGGTTTACAGGATTGGTTGGAAAAGGATTTCCTTGAAGACTAATCCCCGTCTAGACTGCCGCTTTTTGCCCGCAAGTTGGCAAAAAGCAGCAGCCATTTCTATTCAAATGAAGCGCGGGGTGTAGTTTAGACACACCCTAAATGTCTATAAGATGGACCACAAAAACCTACATTAATGTTAGCATCTTCCATAAAACTCCATAGACCAGATTCTGGGCTGAGTCCTGACTTGCACTCTAGTGACAGCTATAGCGCCTGTGGTCACTTCAAGGTCAGGGGAGTCTTCAGTTGGCCAGATTGGCCAGGTTCATGGCTGCTTCGCATTCCTATAAGGACACAGCCCTATAGGATTTTAGTACAATTTCTATAGAACCCTACTGGTTGAGATGCCATTAAATTCTGTAGGAGTTTCTCAGAAGGATCACAAGCCAACCAAAAAGCAACAGAGTGTATAAATGAAAAAAGTTAATTTGTTCTTCATGCTGTATGTAGTAATATGTTTTGTTACCTCACCAGTTATAGGAAGTTATTTAACAGGGCATTACAGTAGTTCAGGACAGATTCTATGGTATTATTAATGACCATTTTGTTTGCAATTGTTAAGAGACTGTCTACTCTTCCATCACAGATAAAACATAAAACAAGTTGTTGTTTTTTTAAATAAATTCCATTATATTCATAGCAGCAAGTTAGATTTCTTCTGAGATTGAGCTATGCTGTGGAAGGGAAGAAAGGCACGATCTCAGAAGCAGTGTCAGAAGGCATTATGCCTACACAAGCCCTATTCACTCTTCTTTGTAATTAAATTGACTCTAAAAATATCAGCTGTACTAGACAACTTACCCAGCATTGCACTGGTCTGGAGCTGGAGGAGGAGGGGCTGGCCCAGGAGGGTGGGGAAAGGCTGTGAAGGCCACCTGCCTGCTTCTCCCTGGGGCCAGCTTGGTGGCAGGGGCTGCGGGGCCACATCGGCAGCTGCTCCCTGGGGGCAATCCAGGGCAGTGGGGGCTGTGTGGGCATAATGGCCCAGGAGCAGCCCAGATGGTGGGAGCCATGCTGCCGGCCCGTGTCTGCTCCCCAGGGTTGGGGCAGTTGCTGTCCCTTGTGGGCATTCGTGAGTATAATTGTTTCACATCAAATGGAAAGGGAGCAGTGCGATAGGCAGGACAGTCGCATTCCAGGCACATCCCATTGTCCTGGCACAACCAAACCCTGACCCTGCTTTAAGTTCTGATCAGAGGAAGCTGCATACCAAATTTGGTGGTCCTAGCTTTTACCATTTAGGAGGAATTCTTGAATAAATGGACTCACGGACAGATGAGGACACAGAGGGACAGACACGCAAACTCTCTAAAATTATATAACAGATTAAACCAAACAATAACAGAGTTAGCCCTCACAACTTCTTCTATCTGTTGGGAAATATCATTGTCCCCATCTCACAGACTGGGAATGATGGCACAGAGAGGCTAGGTTATTTTTCTGCAGTCCCATAGGAAATCTGTGATGGACGTGAATCCAGGTCTCCTGGGTCACAGGCCAGCATTCTAATCCCTGGATCTTCCTTCCACCATTTTTTGTATTTAGATTGAATGCCATATTTAAAATACTTGTTCATTTTTCCAAAGCCTTTGATGGTCAGTGGATGATTTCCCTTAACACTTGGCTCTAAGGTTCACTAGCATTTTATTATAGGCTTTTTGTTTTGCTGTATTAGGTCTGCTTGGATTTTGATGAATGTAACAATGGCCAAAATGGAGGTTGTGTTCCAAATTCCCAGTGTATAAACACCATGGTGAGTGTCCTTTCATTTACTGTTTTCAAAACTGACCATTTACATCTGGCTGTGATTTGGATCTTTGGTTCCAGCTTGGGATCACTTCTATATTGTATCTTTTAGTTCTCTCTAAGCTAACGAAAAGATCCCTATCTCTTCCCTAAAAGGTAAAACAACCAGTGCTTAGTGAACAAATAGCATGGATACATGAACTCCATCCCGTCCTCATCACTCAGCAGTGACAGCAGTCTTCCCTTCATCCCCTGCAGTTGCAGGGAGTCCTGGCAATTGTATGGGGTTTTGTGATGGGTCATCCTCTGAAGAGATACATATATTCATTCCCTGCTGGGAGTAGCTACAATAAGACTGGGAAACAGGCCTTGTGCCTGGTGGTAGAGGCAATCTCCCCATCTTTCTCTCTCTTGCCATAGTATGTAGCAGAAGTCAGAGCAGAAGAAGAATGATACTTCTACTGCCATATTAGAGTGAGCACAATGGAACTAAAAGTGGAATGAAAGGACTGAAAGGCTGAGAAAAGGAGTGGAAGCCTGTTTTAATGCACCTTGGATCTTTCACTCCAGTGCACCCTACCGGTAACTGCAGTTTCACTGTGAGATGGTCTGCTGTGTAGAGTAAGGTAGTATACTCACACAAAAAGAATAAGAGAGAATCCACACATTTAAAAATTTAAATTCACAGAGCACTTATAGTGATATCAAACTGCAAAGCTCTGGGTGAAGTTCTTTTCTTACCACACCTCTTGCTCCTGATGAATACCTTTCTTTCTCTTTGTTAACATCTACTGCATTTCTATCGGATGCATCTTTTGTCTTCTTACTGGAGCAGGTATTTTCTACAGATCTTCAACCCTTTTTCATGCAGTCTTTAGAGAGGCACATGGGGTTCTGGGCCAGCCAATTCTTGAACAGATCATCAATGGAACAGGTTGTCTACCCTGCCTCCAGTCAGTAGCACCTAGGTCAGGAAAAGCTGTTTTAAAGGTTAACAGGGGTGCCCAAGCTCTGGTTAACAGGCTATATAAAGCCTGCTTCACCACAATATACTAAGGGCTGATTCACTCACATTTTGTCTACATCATGTGTGAACTAAAATGATGTAAACAATTTTGTAATTGTGTTGTTTCTATGTATGGGATTATCTGTCTAAATACATTTGAAACAAACGTATACATCAATATATACATCAATATTTTAAATCTTATTCAATTCTGTAGAATCTGTTTGGCCTACACCAGCTTGTGCTTACATTTATGTGGCCCTCCTGTGAAAGAAGGCTCTCTCTCTGGGCCACTGAACTTATTTGGAGCCACGACAGTTCAGAATGCATTGTGAAAATCCAAAGTAAATAATGGATTTCAGGAGTTGTGGGCCTGGGTGAACTGAACCCATTGGCTTGAATTAAAGGGGGAAAGAATGGCTGGATTTCCTTCAGCCTTAAGCATGTGCAGATTTCAGCTAGCTGCCATTTTCTAAACTACCACTCATTAATTATTTGATTTGTGCAGTTCTCCATCTATGTGGCCTATTGCCATTAATTCAGACAGTGAAAATCTTAAACAAATCCAGACAAAACCCATATACTTCCTGGTCTAGACAAAATACTCCATCTGTCGATTATGAATATACTTTTCCAATCTACCTTCGCTTGACTTTGCGCGTCTCCTCAAACCTCATACGCATGCCCCTTAGTGAGCTACAGCGTGTGTGTGTGTGTGTGTGTGTGTGTGTGTGTGTGTGTGAGAGAGAGAGAGATATCACCATGACTTGCAGAATGCATTTGTGTGCGTGATCACGGTGGCCTGCAGTATGTGCGCGTGCGTGTATGTGTGATCATGGAGGCCCAGAGAGCGTATATAACAAAATAATTTTACTAATCACTGTTTCCACTCAAATTTTTCATTAACCTCTCTTATGCACATTCATTGCATGACTATTTTGAACTCCTTTATATTTTAAAAAATTACAGTCCACATTTAAAAAAAAAAAAAAAAAAAAACACTTCTTGCCCCAGAAATTCCTGCATATAGGCCTGTATTGATTATGGTGGGTTTTATCTCATATTTCATTGGCTTGTTCACAAGACAGCAAAAGATGAAAAATAACTAAGCATGAGCAACAGGGAGCTCAGGTCTAAATGAAGCTCCTGTATGGAATACCTGTCATCACCAGCAAAGGCATTAACTGCAACTCCCTTGCTTGGAATCTCTGGGCTTGTTTACATAAGAAAGTCACAGAGGTGTAGTGTACAGTGATATTTTAAGATGATTTACTGAAACCTGTGCAAAAGGCTGTGTAGACGCCTATGTCAGTTTAAACAAGGTTCATTTTGATATGTCAAATCCTAGGCCTTGTCAACACACAGAAGTTGTATCAGTTTAGCTTAAATAATTTAAAAACTGATTTAGCCAGAGCATACTTTTGGGTGGCTATACTTATTTCATCTTAGGAGCAGCTAGTTTCAGTTTAGCTTAAACTCGTTCCCAATTAAGTTAAACTAAATCAAACCTAGGCAGATTTATACCAAAATAAGAGTGTCCACACGTACTTTGCACTGGTTAAATTGATATAGTTAAACTGGAGTAATCTGTTTGTAGACATGAATCCAGCAAAGAATGAACAGACATGGAAATTGTCATACCCTGTTTTGCCTTAAAGATGATTCAACCCTCCTCCTGAGCAGGTTTTAGGGACATTCATTGGGTAATGTAGAGAAGTTTGCATTGCTGCAGGTATTCTACCTTTTCTCAGGATAAATAGGAAACTTCAGTTCCTCCACAACTGTCAGTCTCTCATGTTTGACAGCACTAAGTGCACATGAAAAGGGTCTGTTCACAAAAGAATTAGCAAAAAGTCTCAGTGAACACGAAACTTAACCTTCACATCACAAATGAACAGCGTGAGGCAACTCATAGACACACTGTTGATGAAAGAGGATTGCTTAATGCAAAGCAGTGAAACTCGGACATACAATTGATTGTCCTTACAGGGTTCTTACCGCTGTGGCCCATGCAAACCTGGTTACATTGGAGACCAGGCTAAAGGATGCAAGGCAGAGAAAAGCTGCAGAAATCGAGCCTTGAACCCATGCAGTGTCTACGCACAATGTATTGAAGAGAGACGTGGAGAGATTTCATGTACTGTAAGTTGGTGATACACTATATTTTAGGTCACTCCAGAACAAACTAGAAAAAAACAGTCCTCCCGAGGCAATGAGCAGTATGTTTTCAGACAAGTGTACACTTTGATCAGTACAAAAATGCATTTGTAAGTAGAGGGTAACACACTCATTTAGCCCAGTTACAGACAGTTCGGTTGTGTCCAGATAGTCTTCCCCCTGACCTCATAGACATGGTATGTCTATGTGGTACCCACATCTGGGTGGCTACATTTCCCATGCTGCCTAGCAGCATTTACATGATTGCATTCTGGAAAGTTTACCCTACTATCTGAGTACTGTGCTGTACTGTCTCAGCAGAAAAGCATGCCAAATATCAATGTGCACAGAGCAAGCAGCAGCGTCTTGTGGATCTTCAGGTATGTTCTTCTGCTCAGAGAATTGGAAGGAAGGTTTTCTGGCTACATAGGTGTGATTATGGGCTCCTTTCTCCGTAACAAGATAATAGTATTGTGACCACATTATTTGAAGACTGAACATATTAGATTAGATCTCTGGCAACGGTAACACACAGTTGGTTGCTATAGTTATTAGTGATGCTATGTATGAGCACAGACTACACCACTAAACAGGTACAAACTCAATCAGATGTTTTAAGTGTAGCTGGAGTCTTAAATACAGTGGGACTAATAGCTGCAGCAGACTTTTAAGTGAAGATTTATTTGATTTTGCCACAAGGAAGGCTAATATGAAGGAATTCATATGGCAGGAACAGCAGTTCCTCCACTGTTTCTAAAAGCATAAAATCATCACAATCAATACCTACTGTATTGATTAAAGATTTGTATTGTTCTTCTCTATGGTTTATTTAAAAGATTATAAGGGGAGTTTCCTACTTTTGTAATGAAAGTGTTGTATAGATTTATTTACCTAAGAGAATTTCTCTTTTGGTATGATAGTGCCAGATAGTGAAGGAGTCATTTAAATTTGGTGTTGGTTAAAATAATCTGAAATTCCAAAAGACTGTTCCCTGTTATGGCAAATATTTTTAATTCTAACCTTATTTGTCCTTGTTTAAAGAGATATAGTAGAAGGAATCAGGTGTCTGGAGATTCACTGCAGCAGAGCTCAATTCTGTGTCTTTAAAAATAAATGTCATATGTATGGGCAAAGTCTCTAGAACACTGCAATATTTCAGAGCTGCTTTCTGCAGCATGGGTTTATAAATTCTGTGTCAATAGAGATTACTAATCTGCTTGTGTCGACCAATGGGATACAGCCTCTTTCAATTATCTTTGTGAAATAACCTGGTGGTTTTATCCATATTCTTTATGGATAAGTTTCAACACCCCCAAAACACCACCATAACTGAAATTTACCTGGCTTGCTAGCTGGCATTCTGAGTAGAGAGGCCAAAGACATAGTTCACTTATGGACTTTACTGTCCTTTCTACCCCTGGAAGTAGCAACTCTAAACCAAGATTGAAATGCATCTGTGCAGCAGGAGGAGGAAGCTATCCCTGATAGAGTGTGACCAGAAGGTTCCTCACCTAACCTCAGTCTTTGCAGCTCCTCTTCTTGGAAGCAAAAGACTGATCCTGCACCCTGAATTTGAATACCACTCAGGGTTCCCTCTAACATTTTCTATCCTTGGGCAGGTTAAATTTTCTTTTAGGCAGGTTGAAATGTCTTATATGCACCACCAATATTGAGGCAGTGTATGTGTGCGCGCACCACCAATACAAACAAAACAAATGCACACAATTTTAAGCAGTCCATATGTGTGGAAGAAAATGTATTAAAACAAGGGATATTTAACATGGATCAATGCATATGATATTCAATATGAAATTAAATAAAAAAGAAAATTAACATTACACTTGGAGTACACATATCAACCTAACAGTTCAAGCTAGTACTAGCTACTTCTGACTCATAAGAGCCAGAATTCATATAGCAAAGATCAGGCCTTAATGTAATACAATATACTATGTATTAATTAGTAACAGATTTTTTTTAAAAATCATTAAGTTCAGAGTTTTAGATATCTGCAGCACTCCATAAACATTCTGTTAAAGGCATCTTTTTCATTCTTATCTTAAGCTATTAACACCTTAAGGAAACTTTGTTTGAAATACAATCATGCAAATGTCTTGGCACATACACTTCCTTTGCAGCCTGCCCTCAACCCAGTCAGACAGAGAGGACTACAGCTATATATGGTTGTGACTGTTTTCTTCCATTATTTGATCTGAGGAAGTGGGTCTGGCCCACGAAAGCTCATCATCTAATAAACCATCTTGTTAGTCTTTAAAGTGCTACATTGTCCTGCATTTTGCTACAGCTAGTCAGACACCCCAAACAAACTGCCCCACCTCACTGCACAGATGCCAGCACCCCTCTCTCTTTCCCCAACCTACCCCATGCAGTCAGCCTCTTGTCTCCCTCCCCCTTCCCAGGAGGCTTGAGAATGCTGAGTGTCTGCCTCTCTCTCCTCTTGCAGAGGGAGCTCTAAACTCCCCTCTGACTCCTCAGCCAATTAATTAATTACTTTCTCCCTTCCTCCCCAGCCACTAATTGTCTCCTTAACTCTGGTCAACTGAAGAAGTGGGCTGTGCCCACGAAAGCTCATGATACCATCTACATGTTTTGTTAGTCTATAAAGTGCTACCAGACCATTTGGTTTTCCCCCTTTTTATGGGCTTTCTGAGCTCTTCAATTCAAACAGGCAGCTAGCTCCCTTTAGCTGCTTGCTCAGTGAGACACCCCTCCCCCTGCAAATCAGCTGAGCTCGCTGCCTGTGCGGGACCTTTGAACTTCTGAGTGGGGCTCAGAAAACTGCTGCGTGAGCACACAGATGCTCAGTTGAATACCATATATGCTCTGTAATTTTCTTCTGGGATCTGAAGCTAATTCAGACATTTTTCCTGATAGTGCTTCTGCTGTCACCTTCCTTTCTGTACTTCTACATGCATCTCATTTTTAAGTACATTTCAAAGGAAAACTGGGATATTTAAAATCCATACAGCCGGTCCCCGAGTTACAAATGCATCCATTTACCACCGTTCATATTTATGACCAACCTCCTCTACAGCCAGAACCTGAGTTATGAACAGAATCCGCACTTACGAACAGCGCAGCCGCATGTCAGTGAATGTAATCCGACTTACAAACACATTGAGTGCTTGGAACGTAACTCGTTCGTAAGTCGGGGACCGGCTGTATCTGTAACAGAGATTTCCAGATATTGGGGCTGTGGACAGTCAGGAGAGGTCTGAAGTCCCCATGCAATTTCACCCAGACACTTGTGTCTGCATTTTCAGCAGTCGCATCCACAAACTAGATATTTTTGAGAACTGATAGCATTTGGATGCTTCAACATTCATGTGAAGAAATGCTCAATTTGGAAGAGTAAAAAAAGAAATGTGAAAAATACATCATTGAGATTTCAGACTTCTTTCTGAAAGTCTGACCCTCAGAATATATTTTATCTTTCTTTTTCCAGTGAATTTGCATTTTGTTGCCTTTCAGGGAGACTGTCAACCTATGCTTTACCTCAGATCACTAAGGCTTATATTTTCAAAATCAATCACTAATTTGGATGGCCACCTTGAAACACTGAGGATCTGAGCCTCCACAGGAATCATTTGGAGTTGTGGTTACTCAGCAGGTCAGAAAAATCAGGCTTTACATGTCTGCAGCTGGCCATCCAAAATTAATAGATACATTTTAAGTTTGGAACTAAATTGATCCCTACCTCAACAGAGACTGTTGAACGTGCACTGTATATTGAACCTTTTGTAAAGCAAGCCTAAGGCCCCATCCTAAGCAATGCTGTACATGTCTGCAATCGTTTAGTGTTTCTATAACAGTGTTTTCATTTATAGTGTGGCATTGGTTGGGCTGGTGACGGTTATATCTGTGGAAAGGACATAGATATTGATGGCTATCCTGATGAAAAACTTTCATGTGCTGCAGATAGCTGCAGAAAGGTAGGAAGCTCTTCATTTTTAATCATCCAGGGGAGTGATAGTAGGGGGCATGGAAAGGTCATGGGCGAGGGAAACACTACAAACAGGAAGCACATTTTCAAGTTTTATTTAAAATATATGCCATTAAGAAACTTTTCAGGTAAATAGTAAAGAAAGTCAGTCAGGCCCCAGGAGAGAGAATTCAATTCATCTTGTAGAATGCTAGTCATATCTCTTGGGTTTATTTTTTGCATAGGACAACTGCAGATTTGTTCCAAATTCAGGACAAGAAGATGCAGATGGTGATGGGATTGGAGATGCTTGTGATGAGGATGCTGATGGAGATGGAATTCCTAATGAACAGGTACTGTACACAGATTTAGAACAAGGTTCAGATTTGGGATCTCTTGCAAATCGGATGAACTAAAGTTGGTGAAAGGTGGGATGTTTCTAAACCTAATACAGGACCATTTTTCTTGGCACATGTCCCATTGCCCTCACTATTTTTAGCCACCCCAACACAATAGCACTTTCTGTAATGCACTCATTTTCATTTATATGAGGCTCACATGAAAGCCCTGAAAAAAAAAATCACACTGACGCACAACTTTATCTCCAACCTACCAATGCAAGACTGAAGGGAAAAACAACTGAGGTGAGTTGGAAGTATTTCAAAGGGACGTTGTTAAGGGCCCAAAAGCAAACAATTCTGCTGTGTAGGAAAGACAGAAGATATAGCAAAAGACCAGCTTGGCTTAACAAGGAGATCTTGCATGATCTCAAAATAAAAAAGGAGTCATATAAAAAATGGAAAGTAGGACAAACAACAAAGGATGAATATAGGCAAGCAACACGGGAATGCAGGGGCAAGATTAGAAAGGCAAAGGCACAAAATGAGATCAAACTAGCTACAGGCATAAAGGGAAACAAGAAGACCTTTTATAAATACATTAAAAGCAAGAGGAAGACCAAGGACAGGGTAGGCCCACTGCTTAGCGAGGAGGGAGAAGCAGTAACAGGGAACTTGGAAATGGCAGAGATGCTAATGACTTCTTTGTTTCGGTCTTCACCGAGAAGTCTGGAGGTGTGCCTAACGTAGTGAATACAAGCAGAGAGAGGGTAAGTTTAGAAGATAGGATACACAAAGAACAAGTTAAAAATCACGTAGGAAAGTTAGATGTCAGCAAGTCACCAGGTCCTGATGAAATGCATCCCAGGATACTCAAGGAGCTGATAGAGGAGGTATCTGAGCCTTTAGCTATGATCTTTGAAAAATCATGGCAGACAGGGGAGATTCCAGAAGACTGGAAAAGGGCAAATATTGTGCCCATCTATAAAAAGGGGAATAAGAACAACCCAGGAAACTACAGACCGGTCAGTTTAACGTCTGTCCCAGGGAAGATAATGGAGCAGGTAATTAAGGAAATCATATGCAAACACTTGGAAGGTAATAAAGTGATAGGGAATAGCCAGCATGGGTTTGTGAAGAACAAGTCATGCCAAACTAATCTGATAGCTTTCTTTGAAAAGATAACGAGCCTTGTGGATAAGGGAGAAGCGGTGGATGTCATATACCTAGACTTTAGTAAGGCATTTGATACGGTCTCGCATGATATTCTTATTGATAAACTAGGCAAATATAACTTAGATAGGGCCACGATAAGGTGGGTGCATAATTGGCTGGATAACCGTAGTCAGAGAGTTGTTGTTAACGGTTCTAAATCCTGCTGGAAAGGGATAACAAGTGGAGTTCCTCAAGGGTCTGTTTTGGGACCCGTACTATTCAATATCTTCATCAATGATGTAGATATTGGGATAGAGAGTACGCTTATTAAGTTTGCAGATGATACCAAACTGGGTGGGGTTGCGACTTCTTTGGAGGATAGGGACATAATTCAAAATGACCTTAGCAAGTTAGAGAAATGGTCAGAGGTAAACAGGATGAGGTTTAATAAGGAGAAATGCAGAGTGCTCCACTTAGGAAGGAACAATCAGTTCCATACATACAAGATGGGAAGCGACTGTCTAGGAAGGAGCATGGCGGAAAGGGATCTAGGGGTCATAGTGGACCACAAGTTGAATATGAGTCAACAGTGTGATGCTGTTGCAAAAAAAGCAAATATGATTTTAGGTTGTATCAACAGGTGTGTTGTAAGCAAAACTCGTGAAGTCATTCTGCCGCTCTATTCTGCACTAGTTAGGCCTCAGCTGGAGTACTGTGTCCAGTTCTGGGCGCCACATTTCAAGAAAGATGTGGAGAAATTGGAAAGGGTACAGAGAAGAGTGACAAGAATGATTAAAGGTCTAGAGAGCATGACCTATGAAGCCAGGCTTCATGAACTGGGCTTGTTTAGTTTGGAAAAAAGAAGATTAAGGGGGGACATGATAGTGGTTTTCAAATATCTAAAAGGGTGTCACAAGGAGGAAGGTGAAAATTTGTTCCTCTTGGTTTCTGAGGACAGGACATGGAGTAATGGGCTTAAAGTGCAGCAGGGGAGGTTTAGATTGGACATTAGGAAAAAATTCCTAACTGTCAGGGTGGTCAAATATTGGAATAAATTGCCAAGGGAGGTGGTGGAATCTCCCTCTCTGGAGATATTTAAGAACAGGTTAGATAGACATCTGTCAGGGATGGTGTAGACGGAGCTTGGTCCTGCCTTGAGAGCGGGGGGCTGGACTCGATGACCTCTCGAGGTCCCTTCCAGTCCTATTATTCTATGATTCTATGAAGCTTAGATTCTGTAGTATGCATCCAATGGCAGTGTCATGGGGTTCACCACTCACTGTTTGTCTGGTGCCTCCTCCTGGTTGCTCTGGGGATTAGTTTACATGATCTACCCCCATTCTTGTGGTTGTATGCCCTCACTTTGTCTTTCCTTGTAGTATGCAGCCCCCTCTCTCACTTCAGGGTCATCTTCATGCGTCAGCTCAGTGAGCATTCCCCCCTTTCAGGATATAGTCCTCCAAAGTCTCTGCCACTCCCACAGTTACCTCAGCAGCTTTCTTGTTCACTTCCCCAGTGGTGCATGAGGGAACTCAGGCCTGCCCTCTATACTGGGTTCCAGTCCAGGGAGCCTCAATCTAGAAGTTCTGTGCTTTCCTCTCCCAGCCCTAACTATTCCTTCCCTGGACTACTACTTAAAACTCTTTGGTTCCCCTTCTTGCTCTGGGTGTACCAGCTCTAAACACTCCTCTCTCTTCTCAGGGAGTGAGAACCCTTTCTTAGGGAGCACACCTGTCTGCTGCCAGCTTCCTGGCTTTATAGGCCCCACTTGTTCCTACACAGCTGAACCTCCTTGCTGTCAGCTGCTTGGCTCTTCCTTCAGGTGCAGCCTGTGAAATTTATAAGGTTACTTGGCTAGCTTAACCCCATCCAGGCTTGTGTGGGATTGACATCACATCACAGGCAGATATATTAACAAATTCAATTACATTAAAAACTAACATAAATCAATTTCAAATGTATGCCTCAGATTGTTACAGCAAAATAATTTTCAATTCTCAAAAAACCTAGGAATTTATTTGCTAGATGGAACAGCAATAAAATTAGTCTCATCCCCAAAAACGAACTTAGAAGCCCATTTAATAATTATTATAGTTCAAATAATTAACAGTTCAGTTTGTAAATTCAGTCTTTACATAGGCCTAATCCAAAGTCACAGCAGTCAACACAAGCCTTTCCAATGATTTCAAAGGACTTTGGGTCTGGCCAGGTACTCAGAATCAGTTTGGGAAGATTCACTGAGTTATTGGTACATAACAGAAAATGTAATTCCTGCTTTAAATGAAAAACTGAATGTAGCTCTAACTATGGAACTGCTTTGGCACCATCACAGTATTGAGCCTCCATGAACCTGTAGCTACTGCAAACTAGCTTAGGGACCTACTGTTCTGTGCATCTGTGGGTGGAGGATGAGAACTCAAGTGTTCAGGAGGGATGTTCAAAAGAGGAAAGAGACATCTCCATTATATTGCCATTATAGACCCTCCTTATAGGCCTTCCAGAATTAATACCAGATTAAAAAAAAACCATCTTAATCTGGAATTTAGACTTTTCTGAGTCAGAAAGTCCTATTGCCAAGTATTTCACTGAGTCTCAGTTTGAGAATATACCACTAGGGGGAGCTGGGCAACTTACTTTTCTCCTAATGCAGTGGTTTTCAATCTTTTTTCATTTGTGTACTCCTAAAAAATGTCATATGGAGGTGCAGACTCCTTTGGAAATCCTAGGCATAGTCAGCAGACCCCCATAGGTGTGCGGACCACAAGTTGAAAACCCTGTCCTAATAAAGTGAAGCCGTGTGCACCCTGAAATAGAAACATTAAATAAGAACCTGCATTCCAAAGGAGACATGGGAAATGAGAACCAAAATGCACTGTGATGAACAAACCCCTATGCACATTGTATCGCTCCTCCACACCCATTGCATATAAAAACTTGAAAGTTGGTCTAGAATTAGTGAAATCTGGTCCTGATTTATTGACCACATAGAATGCCAAACTATTTCCAATACTGTATTGCTATCTGCAAAAGAGTTTACAGCACATAAACGAGCATAGGGATTATTTGACTCCAGTAAGAATTTAACAGACGGGAATTTGTGTGTGTCTCCCTTTTAGGATAACTGTATATTGGCTCCTAATGTTAACCAGAGGAACAGTGATCAAGATATCTTTGGAGATGCTTGTGACAACTGTCGCACAGTCTTGAATAATGACCAGAGGGACACAGATGGTGATGGGAAAGGAGACGCCTGTGATGACGACATGGATGGAGATGGTTGATAGATCTTCGCTTAACATCTCTGTTATTCTTTAAACTCACCCAGCAAGTACTGTGTGTTAAGGCACGGGTTAACTACGCCTGCCCCACAAGCAGCAGCAGCTCTTCCGCCAAGAGAGTCCAGTCCACACCAGTGAAAATTACATTGCTCAGGGGTGTTTATTCAGAGTCCTGAGCGACATATGTTATGCTGACATATGCTGTAGTGTAGACGTTGCCTTAGAGAGGATGTTTGTCACCAGCTCTTAGGTATCTCTAAGACCGAATACTTTAGTCCTAGTTTCCAAGAATGATGGGATGGTAACCTGTGCCCTGCAAGGGAGGGGAGAGGGGAGAGTGAGAGGACATCCAGCTTCAAAAGTTAAAATCTAGAAGGACACTTGACCCATCTAGAGGCACATGTGATCCCTCGCGCTCCCCACCCATCACCTATGTCCGAAAATATTTTGTAAAACCCTACAAATTTGACGGTTTCCCTCCTTGCAGTTGTTATGACTGCAGCAGAGGACATGAAACTTGTTGCAGGAATGATTCTAACTACCCGGTACCATTGCAGAGTGTGATAACTATCAATCCCAACAGCAGGAGCAACTCAGACTACACTGCAGCCAATTTGGGGGTGATGTCACTTAGTCAAACATCTTCTCATGAGAGATTTTGTCAGAGATAGCTCATTCCATCATTGCTTGCAACTCCTAGTTGCAGCTGTTTTTATTTTATGTAACTATTGATTTTTTTTTTTATGGCAGCCCAGGCTCTGGACACAGTGATGCAATTAAACCTCACAATAATTCATACAACAATTAAAAGGCTGGTGAACATTTTAATGTACTAACAGCAAAAAAAAAACCAGTGCTCTTCACAATAACCCACAGGACCAACCACATCCCTGCACATTTGAAGGCCTCTTGCCTGAATGCCCAAGAGATCCCAGTCATGCAACATTTTATTTTCATTGCTGTGTGGGGCTTGAAAGAAAATCAAGTCCCCTTAAATATAATAACAGCGATAAAATGTCAGATGGTATTAACTATACGGTATAAGGATAGAACGCAGTGAGGTGCTCCCATCTTTGATTAAATGTTATGTGCACAGAAACAAAACAGATCTGCTGTTAACATTTATGATACAGTCACACACTGTGCCCCAAGTGAACTGCTGCAGACATTGGTGATGGCTGCACAACAGTGCTGTATTTTGTGACAATACATCAGTAGGTGCATTTGGAAAATACTCATTTGGAACCGGAGGGAATAATTTTGACTAATATCAGTGACTTTTACAGGTATTAAGAACCTTTTGGATAACTGTCAGAGAGTTCCCAACCGGGACCAAAATGACCAGGATAATGACGGTGTTGGTGATGCTTGTGACAGCTGCCCCACTATCAGCAACCCCAATCAGGTTAGTGAGAGGAAGAAAACTGACAGGTGTTCGTCTCACCTGCTCTTAAAAATCTAGGCAGATATCAGCTGCTCCCGTTTTGTTAAAGGTCAATGGGAAAGTCAATTAGAAGACTCCATTAGGAGTATTAATTAGTTTAATTTATTCTTTTATTAGGACTAAATCATGATTTTCTTATTTAGACAAAAAAAACAAACCTGTCACTACAGAGTTAAATGTCACAGAGTGAGCAGATTAGACTTGCTACATCTTTTTGTTCAGCTATATAACACTGTAGGTTTATTTTAAAATTCCACAGGAGGAGAATCTCTTCTAGAAAAGGAAGGCTTACTCCTTTTTAGTATCTCAGACAGCTTTTATTTTAATTCTTTCAGCTAGAGCTCCAGAAGCTACTGTTGCACCCATCTTAATAGTCATTTGCTTCTCTGCCCTTTTAAAAATAGGTTTTCCTTTTTGGATCACCCCCATAACTAGAAGATATATTTTATTTTAAAACCCTGATCCTGCCAACATAGTACTGTCATTTTAATGTTCTCTTGGCAGTTAATACTACAACTTCTTCTGTTTCTGTTTACAGTCAGATATTGACAATGACCTGATTGGAGATTCTTGTGACACCAATCAAGACAGGTACAGTGTCCCATCTAATATTAACAGAAGAGTGATATTGGGCCAAATTTAGCCATAGTGTAAGCTTATCTAACTCTACCCACTTCAGAAGAGTTGCACCATGCTCCTCCTAGGGCTCAATTCAGCCCTAAGTTATTTTCAGTACTTCCTGGCCAGTAAGGAATGTATTTTAGGTTTTCATTACATAAAATTATTTTCAATCAGCAATAGCCATAGTCATCAATTACTGTCAATAATGCAGCAGGTAAACTATCCCTTTCACTTTTTCCCCATACACATATGTACATTTCATGAGTTCATCTCAAAAAAGGGCACAGAAAACAGGTACATTACATGATTTACAGCTGATTCCATAGAAATAAAATTGGTAAGCTCTGTACAAAGCTTATATTATCAAATCAAAACAAAAAAGGACAATTTTAGGGTGAGGTATTTTCTCCATTAACACACAAGCCTTCACTGTAGCATAAACCAAGTTTCTTGTTTTTTACAATGAACATACCTTTAAAAAAAAGGTTCCTCGCCTTAGCAAAGTGGTGATAAGGTTTCTCTTCGTCTCTTGCAGATATTAAGTGGTGGGGAGCAGCAGCTGAGGGTGTTTTAGGGAAATCCATGAAATGCTATTTCTTTACTCCCAAGAACAACAATTAGCTGTATTTGCTTTTACTCATGCTGAGAGCAGCTCCAGCAAAACAAAGTTTAGGCATTATATTTTATTCCTCTCCCCACAAGGGAAAGACAGCTACTCCTTCCCCCACTCCCAAAGCTTAGGAAAGGGAAAGGGAAAACACCATTTTCTACTCATGGGAAAATGATCATTGTTACATTCCAGTCCAAGATAATTAGCATACTGCAACCCATTGAGCCTGGTCTGCACTAAGTATTTCACAAAATTGCCCTACCCTATTCTATCCTCCTGGGTATTAGCTTTATCATGGAGTGAAGCTTGATTGTAAAAGAGAGTGAGGCCTTGTCTTTGCTACTAGGGTGTGTTTTCTGTTTCAGGGTAGCTATCACATAAGCTATCCTGGGGTAAAAGCACAGTAAAGACAAGGCTGTATAGTTTTTCCATGAGGTAAAGACAGGGGATGGGCTATGCTACAGTGACACAGCTGCTTTTGCGGAAAAACTTGCCAACTGTCTGCACTGGCTGCTTGAATTTGCGCAAGAACACTGACAATCTAATGTAAGATTGTCAGTGTTCTTGCACAAATACCATGCTGATCCCGTTCGGGGAAAAAGCCCTCTTGCGCAAGAAGGCCAGTGTAGACAGCTAAAAACTGTCTTGCGCAAAAAAGCCCCGATGACGAAAATGGTCATCGGGGCTTTCTTGCGCAAAACTGCGTCTAAAACTTGCTCAAAAGCGTCCGTGCCAATCTAGATGCTCTTTTCCGCAAATGCTTTTAATGGAAAAGCTTTTCCGTTAAAAGCATTTGCGGAAAATCATGCCAGTCTAGACGCAGCCTAGGTGTGCAGCCATAGCACCACAGTGTAAAAGCTTCCCACATCTATAAAAGGAGCTTTTCTGTCAATGTAGTTAATCCTCCTCTCTGAGAGGAAGTAACTAGGTCAAGGGAAGAATTCTTCTCTTGACCTAGCTGTATCTACACCAGGCATTAGATCACCTTAACTGCAACTGCACTCAGGGCATAACATTTTTCATTGCTCAGAGTAATATGGCTAGGTCACATGTAGGCGATGCTTAAGTAACAGTGTGATATCCCCAATGGGGTTGATCTCATCTATTTTACCCTAAGATAAAACCAAAGTGCATATCTCTAGTTCATTTTTGCTTCAAGATACCTCACACATTTGTTAACTACAGGGAATAGACTCTTCTTCTTTTTTTTTTTTTAGCAGTGAAGACAAATCCATTGATAAATGTTGAAGCTATTTCCTTACTTTCACTGCACTTCACTGTGGTTCCGTCTACTCTAGGCAAAAAGGTATTAGGGGAAAAACATTGCCGGAATGCCTCAAGTTTGCAACACCTCACATTCCCACCTAACAGGAGCTGCAGGTGCCTTACTAGCATGGGTTATTCAAGTTGGTTGCATTACAGCATCTGGAGTAAGGGCTTCAGAAAGCATCTGACTGAGCCAGTATGATGAAGTCACTACACCAAGGTCAGGAAACCACACGTAGATTTGGAAGGACTAGATTTTTATTGGTGAAAGGTTGATTTCACCAAACACGCAAACTCCAAACAAAATATTTCTATCCATATTAGTAGCAATCTACAGATATGGAAAGTCAGATAAAGGCTATTTGAGAACTTTAGAGAACCCTACCTTAATTTTTACAGCACATCTTGTAATGCTGGAAATTCCTCTGCTTCAGCTCCCCCTCGCACCCTAACCCCTGTGATTTACCATGTGTCACTTTTAAGAAGAGTGAGGCTTTAAGACCAAGACTCACAGCTAGGATCGGGGAGGGGGAGGCAGGAGGGAGTGTGTCTGCTCTGCCTGGAGAAGGCAGCCTCCTCCCCATAATTTGGTACAACGATAAAAATTGTAATTGATTAAAAAGTAGAAAAAGCTTAAAAATAAACATTGATTTTTTTAAAAATCAAGTTCTGCCAAGTCTAGCCACTGGTGGTGCAGTTGTGTTAGTTCATCTGGGCTTTACTGCAGGGCTGCTGCTGGTGGGACATTTCCCAAAAACCTCTCTTAGCACTGCATGCCATAGCCTAGGTCATCAGGAAACCCAGGGCACATTGGTACAATATGTCTTAATTAATATTTAGACACATCAAACTTTGTGAAATGTTGTTAGACCATGGTAGGGAGAAGCAAGGCAGATAACCACTTCCAATACTCAGTGTCCTCACAATCAAAAATGGAAGCTTCAGTAGAACCAGATTAATTATGAGCAAGTTCCATTGCCCAATAAATCCTATTTCACAGTCCTGGTGAAAGTTTTTCTTTTGTTACACGTTCTGGAATCAGGATGCATCTGATGGCACCAACAGCACTTTATATTTCAGATTGCTTAGATGCAGTTCTCTAGTCTGAGCACAACAACTGACAGTGTGTGTGGTTTGTTGGTGTGTGTGGTTTGTTGTTTTGTTCTTGTTCCTAGTGATGGAGACGGACACCAGGACAGCACAGACAACTGTCCCACAGTCATTAACAGCTCCCAGCTCGACACAGATAAGGATGGCCTGGGTGATGAGTGTGACGACGATGATGATAATGATGGGATTCCGGACCTCATCCCCCCGGGCCCTGATAACTGCCGCCTGGTTCCCAACCCTGGACAGGAAGATGACAACAGTGAGTCTATTCTACCCCCCTATGCAGTTAGCAAGCATGCAATCCACTTACTGTAAGGTAGCAAGTTCTCACCAAGGGGAACCAAGTCCCCATAGGACCTTGTTGTCCAAAGTCTAAAAAAGTAGATTTCTCCTTTGTACAGAAGGGGGCCCTGTTACTTCTAAGTCAGCATTGAAACATATTATTAGTAGCAGCAGCCAAAGGCTCTATCCCAGTGTTTCTCAACCTTTTTTTTTATATATAAAGTACCCCTTTTTCAAAAAAACAAAAGTACCCCCAGTACCTATAGTTTTCAGACACACATTTTTTTCTACCATTGCAACACATTTGTTTAAACAACTTAATTATAGCCAGGTGGGTGATGAAATTTTTGGGTGTAAAAAGTACAAAAAATTAAAAAAAAAAAACACTGTAAAACTTAAAACAAAAATTCAGTTTTCTCCAAATTTCAACTATGTTGACGTACCCCCCAGATTTCTCTTGAGTACCCTTAAGGGTACTCGTACGACTGGTTGAGAAACACTCATCTATCCCACATTTTGGCCGAGATTCTGTGCTGCAAATGGGTGGGGGAGACATAAACCACCTTTGGATTTCCAGATCAGGTACCACTCTGACTTACAAAAGTCTTCTTGGCCACCTGTGACCTGCTGCTGTCACTCCCTTGACACTATCCTTCTTGCCAGAGTATGCTTTTACCTTGTAAGAGTTCCCTGAGGGGGCACTCAATGCCCTTCATGCTGCTGGAATGTCATACAGAAGTGCTAGCAGAGGCGAGAATTTGGCCCTTGGATCTCACTTTCATGAACAGTGTGACATTCACCAAATTTATTCAGGCCTTGGCCACACTACTGCGGGTTGTCAACCTAAGTTACACAACTTCAGTTAAGTGAATAACATAGCTGAAGTCAACACACTCTTACCATGGTATCTTCGCCGTGGTAAGTCAGCAGCTGACGTTCTCCTGTCAACTCCATGCACCTTTCTTGTTTTGGTGGAGTGTTGGAGTCGATGGATGAGTGCTTGATGGTCAGTTTATTGTGTTTTGCATAGTATAGGATCCCTGCTGGATTGATCACTGCTTTCAATGCAGCCCATGGTGATCACATGCCCTGAAATGTGAAAGACTCACATTTGGATTCTTTAAAAAACAATAAATAGTCTAGTAGCACTTCAAAGACTAACACGACCTGTAGACTCAGCACAAAACAAAAAGCCTGTCTCTCTTTTTCTTTAACTCATTTGCAAAATATCCCTGGAAGATTTTTTAGTTTTCACCAGAACAATGATACAAAGCAATCTTAAAAATAAGCCAATACTGTAAAATTTCTCTGCTTCATATTAGTGACTGCACTGGCATCAGAAGATGGAGAATCACCCCTTCCTTTGGTTTGTTGCGTGGTTAAAGCTAAGGTGATTGTTACTGCATTGTAAATAAGGCTCCCTTTTGTTTCATTGATGAATTCAGGTGATGGAGTTGGTGATATATGTGAATCGGATTTTGACCAGGATACAATAATCGATCGAATTGATATTTGTCCTGAGAATGCTGAGATCACCCTGACAGATTTCAGGGCTTATCAAACGGTGGTCCTGGATCCTGAAGGTGATGCTCAGATTGACCCTAATTGGATGGTTCTGAACCAGGTAAAAATCCATGACACACCTTTTTGCTGCCAGAAACAAACCACTTAAAAAATTGTAAAAACCCCAACCCATGCTAAACTTAGACTCTGTAATGCTGTAGCAAAGAAATGAAAATCAACCAGTGCTTGCCAAAAGGAAAGGATATTTTTGAAAAGTGCAACTAAGTTGGAAGTTGAACATACTAACACATAGGCTAAAATAAGTGCAGCCACAGAAATCTCTGAGAGAACTGCACTGCTGCATAGAGGGCCAGCATGAGGCTCATGTATCACTTTGGGACGTCTCATTGTAGTTAATGCAGTATCATCATATTGTTTATTGAGCCACAGTAACGTAATTAATTTTCCCCTCTCAGGGTATGGAGATTGTACAGACCATGAACAGTGATCCTGGCCTGGCAGTTGGTATGGACACCTTTTCTGTACTTCTGTTGTGCAGCAGAAAAGCTTTTGGCGAGCTGTCACATTTTCTGCCAACTATTGGCCTTAAGGTGATGCATATCCATTGCTCCTAGGTTATACAGCTTTCAATGGGGTTGACTTTGAAGGCACCTTTCATGTGAATACGGTGACGGATGATGACTATGCTGGCTTTATTTTTGGTTATCAAGACAGTTCCAGTTTTTACGTGGTAATGTGGAAGCAGACAGAACAGACTTACTGGCAAGCAACTCCATTCAGAGCTGTTGCAGAACCTGGAATTCAGCTTAAGGTACTGGGTGAAGTAACATCACCAAATGTGATGGCACAGCCTTCTTTGTGTCTTAGCTACCCACGCATACACGGAGTTGCCTACTTAATGCCTATGCTTTTCTCCCACTATTGCTAGGGGTCTAGCAGCTCTTTCCTAAAGGAAAGGTTAAATTAATGTCAGAGTGGGGCCTTACATATGTTCATCTCTCTAAGCATAGGAAATTCAGAGCATAACCTGAGTCAATAGCAATTTGAGTGCAGGTCAATGCTTATTACAAATGAATGAGGTTGAAGTGGACCTTTTTAATTTACATAAATAAATTCAAACCTGGACACAGATCTCAATCAATTTACTTGTGATGGCCCAATGTGATCCATTCAAAGAGGCTGTGCATTTGACTAAAGCAAAACTTTCTAAAATGTGGTGCATGCCACACTGACTGGTAGTCAACTGAGATGAGCAGTCACATACTGCTGACTCCTCTTAGTTCCTACAGGAAAAACACAGCTAATAATAAAAGCAGTTGCTACAGTTGGCCCCCCAGGGGTGTCATGAGCTCATGCCTGGGAGAGAGGGTTTGACCAAGGCAATCCCTTGAGTAAGATGTGGCCCACTCTATAAAAAGTTAGAGCTCATGTTCTCAAGTTTAAAGGGAATTTTCTCTTTTTCACTTTCTAAGCAATGCCATATTTGTCTAGGCTGTTAAATCTAAGACTGGCCCTGGAGAACACCTCAGGAATTCACTCTGGCATACAGGGGACACCAATGACCAGGTCAGACTGCTATGGAAAGACCCCAGAAACGTGGGCTGGAAAGATAAAGTCTCGTATCGCTGGTTCTTGCAGCACAGACCCCAGGTTGGATACATCAGGTAGGACTGAGAGACCAGGAATGATAAATACATATTTACAAACGTACCTATCTTGTACCATCTAAAGTCACAAAATAGGTTGAGACTATATAAAAACCTCAAAGTTTGTTGTCTTGTTTACACCTTTGTAGAGCTAAACAGCTGTGATTTTCACAAATCTTTAAAAAAGTTCTAGTTAGTGAAGGGTTTTTTGTGTTTGAGAAAAATCAAACCACATATAATTACAAATAGGTCAAGTATGTCTGGGTTTTGTAGCTGCCAAAGTAAGACATACTATCTTGCCTGGTTTTGTTTTAAGTGTTTGCAAATATCAATACAACACAGAGAAACACGTTCAAACCTTAACATTCCACAGATCTTTTACTTCTGTATGAATATTCTTTACTGTTGATCCCTTGGAATATGAACGTATAAACTCATAATTTATCCATACTACTATATATAAACAGCAAGAGAAGTAATCAAAGCTGCCAACACAGAAAGCATAAAGATGGTAAAATGGAACCTGATCAGTAATTAGCACAACATAATATACAACAGGTGAGCAGTGTAGGTATAGCTGTGTTGGTTTCAGAATATTAGAGACACACGGTGGGTCAGGTAATATATTTTATTTGAGCAACTTCTGCCAGAGAGAGAGACCAGCTTTTGAGCTTACATAGACCTCTTCTTAAAGTGACTCTCTCTAGGTGATCTATGTCCTCACTATGTTCACTGACTGCATGTTAGCATCGAAATGCTTCTTGTCCCTGTGATGTTTACAAAAATTGCTAGTGGCAAGATAAGTAAGTAGTCACCATCGTGCAAGTCAAACTCTGAACAAAGTCTGGAAGTAGTCAATCCATTACTGCAATCAACTATTTAAGTATTAAAAGGCAAGAGAGACATTGGCCCGGCTCATAAGTGCGTGATTCACTCAGAGAAGCCTTTATGAATTGCTCTTGATTTTTAATCTGTTTTTACAGATGTAATGTGAGTGATGTTGATCTTGGGCTGACATCCATAAAGAAGTGCAGGGCTCCTAAAGACACAGGGTGTTCTAATTTGTTAACATAGCAGAAGCGCAAAAAAGACAAACATGGGGAAAGCATTTTCACTGGCAATCATCTGTCAGGATAAGGGGTTGGATCTTGTAACATTCAAGTCAGTGGGACCAGGGTCTAAAAAATATCCTCAGTGTACATTGTACTCCTGCTTGGCCCCATCAGACCAGTCACATATTTATACTGAACATAAGAATGGCCATACTGGGACAAACCAAAGGTCCATATAGCCCAGTATCCTGTGCCCCAGAGGGAATGAACAGACCAGATAATCATCAAATGAGCACATAGGGGATTTGAACCCTAACCTGCCACAGAGTAGTCATACATTCAACTAGTTAGCTACACAACTACTCTTTTTCAGATAGGCAGAATAAGGCAAACCATTTAATAAACTTCAAGATTAAATCAGTTTCTGCAGCTCCATGCCTTTTGGCATGCACTGAGTATACGACCACACACTCTTTTTTTAGTCACGCCAGTTAAAATCCTCAGAAACCAAAGGAGTGGATTAAAGTGAGTCTTATTTAATTCTTCAACAAGGGCCTTCAGAACCAAAAATGAAAGCCTGAGCCAACACCTGGCCCATAACTCACTGTGGTATGTTTTGATTAAATAGTGCAGCCCCATGAATATGTACTAGCACACATTTCTCTGAGACTTCAGGAAGCCTAGAAAAGGCACAAGAGCTGAAATAGCCCAACAGAGTTGCTATTTCACTAGGAAGGTGATGAAGTACTGGAATGGGTTACCTAGGGAGGTGGTGGAATCTTCATCCCTAGAGGTGCTTAAGTCTTGGCTTGACAAAGCCCTGGCTGGGTTAATTTAGTTGAGATTCATCCTGCTTTGGGCAGGGGGCTGGACTTGATGACCTCCTGAAGTCTCAATGATTCTATGAACCCAAATTCACCAGCTGTGTTCTTTTTGAAACAGCTGAATAAAGAGAAATTAAGGATAGTAAATTATCATTGCTTTATAACAAGAAAATTCTTGGGGAAGGTGTCTATTTCCCTGTGTGTTTGTACAGCTCCTTGTACCATGGAGCCTGGATTCTGATTGGATCCCACTGGGCACCACCAAGATGTAAATTAGAAATACTGATATGTACAGGTAAATGTTTGGTGCTGCTGGTATGGAGCTAGCATAGACAACTAACTCTCCCCTGTGGGAGGAAGCACACTGGGATGAGAGTAGGTGTGATCAGAAGATACTATGGTTAATGATTTCTAGCCAGTGAAAGGCCTTCTACTGAGCTGTTAGAAGCTAACCTAATTTGGAGCAACTGCCCCTTCCCTACCCCACTGGCACAGCCCTGGTACAGCTGGGGGGTAATGACCATAACTTCTCTTCAAGCTTATGGTGGTATGGTCCTGAGACTAACCAAATGAGCTTGTCACAGGGTTTTAATCTGCATTTATTTGCTAACTAACAGAGGCTGCATTTGTTTTATTCTGAAGGGCACGATTCTATGAAGGGTCTCAGCTGGTGGCAGATTCTGGAGTAACTGTAGACACTACCATGCGTGGAGGAAGACTTGGTGTTTTCTGCTTCTCTCAGGAAAACATTATTTGGTCCAACCTGAAATATCGTTGCAACGGTATCATTTCTCTTAGCATGACTCATCCACGAGTACAGAAGTTTGGCTTTGTTTCATTAACCACCTTGCAGCCTTCCCTTTCATCAGCAAATGAATCTGTGAAATATCATGCCCATTGTGACCTCTTTTAGCAGAGGTCAACGCACATCCAGCTCGAAGTAGAATTAGCCCTTCAGTTGCTCTAGTCTGCCATACACACGCAATTTGCCAGCACAATCATGCCATTACATGGAGCAGGTTACTTACAACACATATGTACAGTTAGAAATGTTAAGACCAGATGAACAATACTTCAAAGCTAACCATGCAGCAAATGAGGCATTGTCCTCAGTAAATTAATTATGGGCCACAGCATACAATGCATATGCCAGTACATCTACTGCTCATGATGTTAGCCAATCTATACTCTAGCCAAACTGCTGCTGCGCCAATCAGGCAATGGAAGGTAGGTTTTTGCACCATTCATAACAGTTGCTGTTGTGAGCTTTCTCTGCTTGATGCACCACAGCTGAGAAGGCATCCTCAGCTGCAGACTGAATTTAGACATGTCACACTTCTTCATTCCACATAGTGTTGGCCAGGACTCCTTCCAGCAGACCTCAGCTTT